CTTGGCTCTATAGAAGTAACAGGATCCACAGGCCCTGCACTTAGGATCTTGCTTCAAGAGACTGGTCCCTTTCCTGTGGCTAACAGAATTGTTTACAGTCATTTAATAAAATTTTTAATGTCTGCTGTTCGGTATTGCTTAACACCAATCACAATGTTGTTAGATCCTTTAAGGATGTGTGAGTTACTTTTGGAGATGCAAATATAAATAAGATGGTTCTTCCCTTAAAATTCAGGTGCAGGAGTTTTTGAATTATATATTTCTATGAAGTTATTTTTCCTTGCTAGTATTCTAATACATTGAAAACTTTTGATTAATTATGAAATCGAACCTCTCTTTATTGACATTATAGAGAATTTTTTTAGTTTCCCACTGATTTAAAAAACTCAAAGGATAAGAAAACAAAAACAAAAATGCCTCAAGGGATCTTCAAAGAGAATGATTTGGAGATCTGAGAATTCCAATTGTCTTCTGAAAAGCCTTTAGTCCCTACTCACATTTCTTCTTTCTTTTCCACTTATCCTTAGCCTCTAGGGACAATTTTTAAGTTAAATTTATCTATTTTATTGTTTTATGATGCAGTTCCTTAGGCTCTAGGATTTCCCTTCTCCCCTCCCCAAGTTCCCTACCTCCACTACTTATTTCCCCCATATTACAGTAGTATAGTCCTTTATAAAGAGTCATTAAGTCCATCACCTGGCTATTTAAATGTATCCTGACATTGTAGGTATAGACAATGGCAGAGTCCGACATCCTATGGTCAAGATATAGTTAACTGTTTCATTGGCAGTCCATCTTTGATTTGGAAGTAGAGATACATCCTGCATTGTATCTTCATATCTGGATATGGTAGTCACTATTACACAGTTACTGTACATCCCCTTAAATGAGAAACCATAAAACAAAATCAACAGGAAGAAAAAAAGAAAATTTACCACAAGATGAAGTTAAATAACACACTACTGAATGACAAATGTGTCACTGAAGAAATGAAAAAGAAGATCAAAAGCCCTCTTGAAGCTAATAATGCTACCGTATGACCTGTGAGTCAGTAAGGAAATTAATAATAATAATGAAAAAACTTTTTTGAAGAAATGAAGATAAAAAACAAAAATAGCAAAAGCCCTGAGATGTAGCAAAACAATATTGAAAAGAATATTGATTTTGCATTTGCATGAAGGTAGCCTTATATCAGAGAGAACACATATTTGTCCTTTGGGGACTGATTTATTTCACTGAGCATGATGATCTGTAGTTTGAACCATTTTGTTGCCAATGGTAGAATTTCATTCTTTTTAATGGTTGAGTGGTATTGCATGGAGTAGATATACCACAGTTTCTTATCCACTCCTCTTTTGATGGGCATCTGTGTTATTTTCCCTGTCTTTGCTATTGTGGACTGTGCTTCTGTAAATATAGGTTTACAGATCCCTTATTCATATGCAGACTTCATTTCCTTTGGATCAGTTTTCAGTTCTCTTAGTTCTCCTTATTCTAAATGTAGGCTGTGTTAATGCAGTTTTATCTTTTTTTAAAATATGTTATTATATTTTTTACAATGTTTACATAGTTAATTAGGGCAAAAAGGTTCAAGGGCTACAGGAAAGTGGGTAAGACTATTATTTCCATATTGTTTCCTTCATGTTTAAAGGGGGGTATTAAGGGAGAAGGCCCACCCAATTTCCCACCCTCCCACCGAAGGTCCCGGATTTAGGGTATGCTCTGAGGTTCTTGCTCAAGTGGTTTTGATACTTCAACAGTTATGAATCGCTGCAATCTTGCCACTCCAAGCACTATGAGGTCTTTGAAGAATCCGCTGGTTGACATGGTCCATCATAGAGTCTCTGTTTGCCCCGTATTTCACTGCCAACATATAGCTGAGATGGTTGATTGATACCTGTTCTGTCTTCTCTTTTCTTGGTTAGGGTTCTGAGTCCAGCATTTCAATTGGGGAGATCTCCAAAGAAACTTTGTCTGAGGTGTTCGATACAGTTTTATCTTACATATAAAATTATGCATGAACTTCACAGTTAACTTTTTAAATTTTTTGTTTTTAATTTTGAAAGCGTTTTAGAGAGAGGCACACAAAAATGAGAAGAGGAAGTTATGAAGCAGATGCCCAATGTTGCCGCCTCCTCCCCTCTTCTGTATAAGAAGTTAAGGTCATTACTGTTGCAAGAAAGATCACTTGCTGCTGCAGCCACCCTGTGCTGTAGCAGCTATTTTGAAAGAGCCATATATAAGGAGGAGTTTGCAATCTGACTACACTGATATTATATCACTATTTAGCTCCAAAGATGCACAGTTCTGTGATGTAAAATGACTGTTAGCAGATTAATGATACAGATGCAAAAAAGTGAAATAATGAATTAGAAAATTTATTATTAGAAAAATAACAAGAAAAATTAATGGGATAAAATTATTTCATATGAATTTCTGAGAAGAAAAAAATACACAGATTAAACACTCCTAATGTGAATATATGAAATCCAGAACACTCCAAAATCTGAAACTTTTTGAACATAAATGTGATGACACAGTGGAAAATACCTCTCCTGGCCTCATATGGTGACTTTCAGTGTGAAGGCAAGGGTACTAAAAATGTATAAAATTATCTTCAAGCTATGCATATAAAAAATTTAATTTTGTGTTTAAATGTGATTTTCATTCCCAAGATATCTTATTTTATATGTGCACATATTCCAAAATTCAGATTATAGATGGGAAATGCAATTACAATACAAGGGAGCTTCAAAAATCTCATGGAAAACATGCATTATTGTTTAATACCATTTGTCTACAAACTTTTTGGAACCTTGTCATATACCACCTTTTAGGTAAGGTTTATATGTGCATAAAATCTCTTTGAAAGGGTACAAAAGAAATTAGGAAGACTGATTTACTTGGGAGAGGAGATTTGACAGGGGTGGGATGATAATAATTGCAGGTAGAGGGAAGCTTCTCTGTATACATTTTGCTTCTCATACATTAATTATGAAAGAGGATTACTAAGTACTGACTTTACAGGGTGTGTTTGTGCTAAGAATTCTTTCTGAACAGGCATGAGTGTTATCCAGGACATTGATGGTAGAGTTCATTTGAAAGCCGGCATTAAGAAGCATTTGACAACCATTTTACATCATGTTTTTTAAGAATGTCAGAGGATTTTTCCATTTCCAAGCAAGTCCTTTTATTTATTTGTTTGTTTGTTTGTTTGTTTTAAATATTTATTTATATGTTTGAAAGTAAGAGGAAGAGACAGAGAGATCTTCCATCTACTGCTTCACTCCCCAGATGGCTGCAATGGCCAGGGAGAGCCAGGACACAGCAGAGAGCCAAAGGCTTCATCAGGACTCCCACAGGGGTAATAGGTCCAAGTACTTAGGCCATTCTCTGCTGCTTTTCCCAGCCCATTTGTAGGGAGGTGGATGAAAAATGAAGAAGCTAGGACCCAAACTGTCACCCAATTTGGATTCCAGTGATGCAGATGGCTGCTTCACCTATTGCTACAACACCCTCCCCGCTCCCTATTTCCAAGCCCTTGTAAAAGAAGTTTTTCCCCTAAATCTTGCTGCTGTGGATGGGCTCGTTGCTTAGCAAGCTGGAGATTCAGGGCCTTTTCTTCCTGTAGCTCAAGTACATAGCAGGCATATATAATCATGTCCATTTAAACCAAACTATTAAATGTATTAAAGTTTTTGTTCAAGTAGATTTGTCCAGGAGAATATGAAAAGTGTGGAAATTTAGTATCTATACCTAACATGGTCTTCTTTCTATTGTGTGCTTATAGACTGAAAAGAAAAAATAAATTTTTTGATTTTTCAATTCTGAAATGACTTTGTGATTTAAAATCAAAGTAGTTTACACACATAGTAATTTTAAGTGTTGCAAAAAATTTGTAAAAGTTTAGTACTTAATTTATACATATAACAAGAATTTATACATATAAAAGTCTTGGTGCTCATAATTTGATAATTTAAGTAAAATTATATGCAGTGGGTCTTACAATTTTTTGCTTTATTTAATATGATTTTGTTTTTCTTTATAACTTTTTAAATTTGAAATGTAATGTCTGTTTATGTAGCATAGAATAAATACATTTTAGGGGCTGACATGGTTCCAGCATTCCCATATGGGCGACAGTTCAAGTCCTGGCTGCTCCACTTACAATCCAGCTTCCTGGGAATGGCCTGGGAAATCATCAGAGGGTTGCCCAAGTCCTTGGATACCTGTACCCGTATGGGAAACCTGGAAGAAGTTTCTGGCTCCCAGCAGACCAGCCCAGGACTGGCCGTTACCACCATCTGGAGAGTAAATCAGCTGAAACAGAATCTCCCTCTCTGTCTCTCTCTCTTGGTGACCCTTTCAAATAAAATAAATAAGTCTCCTAAAAGAATAAACATATTTAATTTTAAAAAGTACTTTTATGAAAACTAAAGATAGGGCCTGGCATGATAGCCTGGTGGCCAAATCCTCACTTTGCACATGCCAGGATCCCATATGGGCACCAGTTTATGTCCTGGAAGCTCCCTTTCCCTTCCAGCTCTCTGCTTGTGGCCTGGGGAAGCAGTAGAGGATGGCCCAAAGCATTGAGACAATGCAGCCACGTGGGAGACCCGGAAGAAGCTCCTGGCTCCTGGCTCCTGGCTTTGGATTGGCTAAGCCCCGGCCTTTGTGGCCATTTGGGGAATCAGCAGATGGACGATCTTCCTGTTTCTCTCCTTCTCTCTGTAAATCTGCCTTCCCAATAAAATAAAATAAATCTTTAAAACTAAAATAATAATTACAATTTGTTAAAATATGTTAAAATATGTTTGTGCCTTGTTTATTTGGATACTTGTGATTTTGTTTTTATTGTTTAGCAATCAAATTGCCTGCCATTATTCCTAAATGGAAATAGGATTACTTAGAAGTAGTGAAGTCATCTAATCACTACAGCTATCTATAAAACTTGTAGTGATAACTAACCCGTTTTGTATATTTGTTCCCTTTTTCGTCAGGACTCCATATCATCCACAGCCTAGATGAAGTCAATTTCATTCAGAATCTTGTGTTTTATATTGAATCTGCATATAAAACTGCTGTAAGTACTAATTGTGGAATGCATTTAAACATACGATGTTTTTGTTTTTAAAATAGTGTGCATCTTCTTCTTTCACTTAATGATGCCACTCAAATGGACCAATAGAAAAGGATTGTAGCAGAAATTGTCTTCAGCTCCATCTTTTACAACTCTACTAAGCATTTTCCCTATGGAAGTTACAGAAACAGTGGGCTCAAGATGTTGTGATTTCGTGTCTTTCAATTCCTAAGGTATTTTGTAAAATGTGTGCAGCGATCTGGGGCCAAATTTTGATCTTATTTTATTTAAGATCTCAAACAGAAGCAAGAAACAAGGTATCTAGAGCATATTACAGGTTGGTTAGCAACTTAGAAATAAAATATAGTCATGTGTTTAATATTATTCATTGGCATTGATTCAATAACTGTATGAAAAGGCTAGTTATTCTTTTTGCTAATATATGAGATAGATTCCTATCAAATTATCATAATTAATATCTTTGCCGTATGAAATACTATCACAGAACTATATAAGAGTGCTTTTTTTTTTCTTCAGTATAACATGACAGTTTTTGCCATTGTTCTTTGAGGCTGTATTTATAATCTCCAAAACTATATATAACCCAAATATCCATGAACAGATAAATGAATAAATAACTTTCAATATATACATAAAGTTGAAATTTAGTCAGCAATACAAAGGAATACACTCTTGATTCCTACAACAAAACAGATGAATTGTGAAGGAATTACACCTAGTGAAAGAAGCCAAGCAGAAATGTGCATTCAATCTGATTCTGCTAGTGCAAAGTTCTAGAAAATCGGAGGAGGCATTTACCATAGCAGTAAAGATGCTTATCCCATACTGGAGTGCATGGTTCTCTGCATTCGGATCCTTGTCCTGATCCTGGTTCCATTTTCTTGCTCATGTATACCCTGTGTGGCAACAAGTGATAATCCAAGTATTTGGACTGTGACACCCATGTAGGAGCCCCAGATTTTGTTTTGAGCTCCTGCTTTGGTGTAGTCGTCCCTAGCTATTATAGACATTTGAGGAGTGAAATAGTAGATGGGAGTTGTGTCTCTCTCTCAGCCTCTATAATAAGTAAATAATTAAATAACTATGTAGATAAAATTCTGTTCAAAATAGACGAAAAAATTTTCAACATTTATTTTTTCATATCATGTTGTTCCCTTTCCTTCAGGAACTCCAATTGTACATGCATAAGGCTGTAATGACCCACAGCTCCCTGATATATTGCTGTTTTTTTAAAAAAATTATATCTACTGTATGTTTCATTTTGAATAGTTTATTTCATAAATACAGAACCTGTGCTGGTTGAGGCCAAAGCCAGAAGGCAGGAACCTGTAGGTCTCCCATGTGGATAGAGGGACCCAAATACTTGAGTCATCATCTACTTCCTCCCAGGGTGTGGGTTAGCAGGAAGCTGGATTGGAAGTGGAAGCAGGGCTAGAAATAAGCCAGTCTGAGGTCAGTGCAGTGTCTCCACTAGCTAATTGTCCACCTGTAATTGTCATCATCCCATTCGGGTGCCAGTTTGTGTCCCGACTGCTCTACTTCTCTTCCAGCTCCCTGCTGTGGTCTAGACATGAAGTAGGGAATGGCCCAAAACCTCAGGATTTTGTACCCATGTGGGAGACCTGGAAGAGATTCCTGGCTCCAGGCTTTGCTCCAGGCTTCAGATTGGCTCAGCTCATGCATTTGTGGCCACTTGCGTTGTGAACCAGTGGAAGGAGAGTCTTCATTTCTCCTTCTCTCTGTAAATCTGCCTTTCCAATAAAAATAAATAAATCTTAGAAAAGAAAGAAGCTTATTGAAAGATAGTTGTAGGGGCACATACTTCATAAAGCAGTTAAGTTGCCACTTAAGAAATTTACATCCCATATTGGAGTGCCTGGTTTGAGTCTGAGATATTCTACTTCCAAGCCAACTTCCTGCTAATACCTACCCTAGGAGGCGAAAGATGATGGCCCAAATACCTGGGTTCCTAGCATCCACATGAAAAATTGAATTTCAGGCTCCTGGCTTTAGCCTGACCCATCGCTAGCTGTTTGAAGCATTTAGTGAATGAACCAGCAAAAAAAAAATCTCTGTGTGTGTCTCTGTGTCTCTTTAATACACACGCTCTCTCCCCCCCTCTGATTGTGTGTGTGTGTGTGCCTTTAAAATGCAACGAGTTTTGTTTTTGTTTTTGTTTTTGAGGATTTTACTTTAGTGCAATTGATTTTGGAATCCATGCATAGATTTTTTTTCATAATATGTGTTTTCAATGAGTTTTTTTGAAAACACATGATAGAATTTAAAGTTATTTGGAAAGTAGCTTCAGGGACTAAAATTCATTGACATCTACTTTAAAAGCATGTGGGTTATACTTAAAAATGGCAAATTAGCCCCAATTAGTATCTTTTATCAGAGATTATGCATCTAGCGAGTGATTAGTAGTTATGAATTGCTGACAGCATATTGGTTCTTTTGTGCCAGGATTTTGGTATATGGGAACGTGGAGACAAGACCAACCAAGGGATCTCAGAATTGAATGCCAGTTCAGTTGGAATGGCAAAGGTAATTTTTCCTTTCTTGTTTGTATGAGGTAAGGATGTCTGCTGCACCTTTTATAGATTTTAAAAAAAAGACCTTAATGTGAATGTGGAGCACCATTACATTAATTACTTTTTTAAAACTGTAGAATTTTGGATATGTAAATGAAAATCTTAATAAGTTCATATTCAATATACAAGCTTGACATTAGGAAGCCCTTTCTCAGTACTCTACTTTCACTCTTCTCCATCTTCCACACCATCGATGTCTTCCATCATGAACACTTTTCCATTTGCTTCACTTTTTGTTCTGCCAGCTTTTAACACATCTACAAATAGTAAGAAGCTGAAAACTAGGAAAGAGGGAATAGTATCACATATATCCATTATGATTAATATGCATTACTTAATGTCTTCTAAAAAAAGGTAAAGACACAGATTGACTTGGAAAAAGACAATCCAAGTACACTAACAGAATTTTAAATAGCAAGATGATACAGAAATATTTAAAGCAGAAAGATGGGCAAGTAAGACCTTACCAAATACAAATTTAAAAAGAACAGGGCCTGGCATAGTAGCCTATTGACTAAAGTCCTAGCCTTGCATGTGCCAGTATCCTATATGGACACCAGTTTGAATCCCGGTGGTCCTACTTCCCATCCAGCTTCCTCCTTATGGCCTGGGAAAGCAGTAGAAGATAGCCTGAATGCTTCGAACCCTGCACCCATGTGGGATAGCTGGAGGAGGCCCCTGGCCCCAGGTTCTTGACTCCTGTCTTCGGATCAGCTCAGTTCCAGCCATTGTGACCACTTGGGGTGTGAACCAGGGGAAGGAAGATCTTCCTCTCTGTCTCTCCTCCTCTCTGTATATCTGACTTTCCAATAAAAATAAAAAGAGCAGTGATGACTATGTGAATATGAAATGAAGTGGAATTCAAAGTAAAACAGTATATGGAACAAAGAGGACAAGGAGAGCCATAATGGAATTCTGAAAGGCATGACTTACATGTTATGAGCCAAGTCTAGTCTTGAATATAGTTTCAGCTTCTCAGGGAAAAATATATGAGAAAACAAGGTGAGGCAAAACAGTTATAAGGGAAATAAAGGAATAAATTCACAAAAAGCATTATCAAGCTATAAGGGTAGTAAACTAAAAAGATCATAGCAAATTTGAATTATGTAATTAATGCAGTTGAATTAATAAATACATGTAGAACTTTGTATCTACAAAATTTTTATACTCTAGTAAACTTCCAAATATATTTTTAAATAACCAAAGTGGTATAGATATTGTTCTACATTTTTATTATTTGAAAGGCAGATTTTTAACAAAGAAGAGAGGCCTTCTAGTCACTGATTCACTCCCCAAATGGCCACAATGGCCAGAAGCTGAACTGATCCAAAGCTGGGAACCAGGAGCTTCTTCTTGGCCTCCCATGTGGGTATAGGGGCCCAAGACCTTGGGTCAACCTCCACTGCTTTCTCAGGTCATAAGTAGAGAGCTGGGTTGAAAGTGGAATATCCACAATGGGGGGAGGGTTTGGGGAAGGGGGGGGAACCAAGTACCTATAAAACTGTTCACATAATGCAATGTAATTAATAAAAAAAAAGAAGAAGAAAGTGGAATAACTGGAACACAAATCAAAGCCCAAATGGGATAGGAAAATTTCCACTAGTTTATATGTTCCCCATCCATATATGACGAGATATGGAAAATGGGGTTCCCTTTGGTGCAAACCAATTTGACATCAATCCATAATTTGCTCATAAATTGCATTTCCATCAACTTTTTGAAGACCCCCCCCCATAAATCATTTTCCTCAAATCCTTGCTAATTCTGGATATTTAAAGGTTTCAGTTTACTAAAACCGTGGGTTTTTTAATTTTGGTTGTGTTTGATTGTTTGTTTACTTCTTGTTTTGAAATCACATGAGACTTACAAAAAAGTTGTAAGAGGTATGCAAAAATTCCCTACGTTCTCCACCTTTCAACATTTGATTGATCTCTCTTTACAAAACACACACACACACACACACACACGTGCACATGCATACATATTATTTTTTCTGAACCAGCGGAGAATACATTATAGACATGATACTTCTAAATACTTCATTATGAATTTCTCAAAGATGTCCATAACCACATTAAAAATCAGAAAATTGGGTCAGGCTTTTGATCTTCATTCCACATTGGAAATCCTGCATTTGATCCCATACTCTAGCTCTTGACTCTAGCTTCCTGCTGATGCAGATCCTTGAAGGTAGCAATTGTGGCTCAAGTAGTTAAATCCCTGTTGCTCACATGGAAGACCTAGACCGAGTTACTGGCTCCTGGCTTCAGCCAGCCCAGCCGTGGCCATGAAGCCATTTGGAGAGTGAACCTACATTTGGGACTCTCTCTCTCCCCCATTCCCTCTCCCTACCTCTCACATAAATAGGTAATTTTAAAAAAAAAATCAGGAGATGAACACTGACATTATACTCTTACCTCCTTCATAGACTCCATTTAAATTTCTTGAATTGTATCAATAGTGGCATTTATGGTTAAAAAGAAATTGAAGAATCAAATGTTACAGGATGAGATGTTGCATTACATTATGTTGTTTCTTTAGGCTCCTTCCATATGGAACATCTTTGCTTGTCTTTCATGATTTAATATTTTTGAAGAGTGTAGGCCTGTCATTTTATTTTATTGTATTGAAAAGATTTGTTTATTTTATTTGAGAAAAGGAGTTATAGAGAAGGAAGGAGAGATAGAAAGAGATCTTCCATCCACTCGTTCACTCCACAAATGGCTACCATTGCCCAAGCTGAGCTGATCCAAAGAGAGGAGCCAGGAGCTTCTTCTGGATCTCCCAAGTGGCTGCAGGGGCCCACAGGCATTAGCAGGTGCTTTCCAAGGTACATTAACAGCAAACTGGTTGGTAAATGGAGCAACCAGGACCCAGACTGGAACTCGTATGGGTACCCAAACACCAGCCCCATGGGCTATTATTTTATAGAATGCCTCTCAACTTTATTTTACATATTCCTTCATGATTATGTTCAGATTGTTTTTGGCAAAGTTAACGCAGAGATGGTTCTGTGCCCTCAGTCAGTCATCAGGAAGTTCAGGATGTGATTTTCTCTTATTGCTGTTGATGTTATCTTTCATTTCATTAATGTAATATCTGCCTGGTTCTTCTGCTGTAAATGTACTGGTTTTCCCCTTGAACATAGTGACTATTTTATGCCTTGCCAAATTGTACTTACCCTGTACATTTCAGTTTAAGTGTCATTTCTTTAGAAAACTTTACAGATCTACCTCCTACCCTCAAAAATAAGTCGAGTTTTCTTCTGAAGAAGTACAGAGGAAAAAACTAAATACTTGAAATACTCAATTTTGTTAAAAACTTAATGTAAACTAATGCAACAGATGTATGGTCTTTTCTCATATTAGGGAAAAAAATTTAAGATCCTGTGAGGGATTTTTTTTTTCATGAAAGAAGGTATTGCCATTTACCCAGTGATAGTTATATTAGTACAACTTGTTATCCATAGTTACCTTGGTACAACTTACATGAAAAACAATTTTTTCTTGTAAATTTAAAATTAATAATATCATCTGACCCAGTACTTTTGGCCTACTGGTTATGCCAGCTGTTAGAATACCTTGCCCTACATTAGAGTGCTGACTTCCACTATCTGGCACTAATTACATCTCCTGATTTCAACTCCCTACTAATGGAGATCCTGAAAGGCAACTCTTTTCAAGTAAATATTTTATTAAAACCTCAAAACTAAACTTTCCTTGGACAATGCTAATTGAGTACCTACTGTGTGTCATGCTGTAACAGATGTTGGTAACAATACTGTCCTCAACTGCAAGGATTTTCTAATTTCACAGAAAATGTATACCAAAGATCTGTTTCTAATACTAGAAAATTAAACACAAAGAAAGGACAGTATAGTGGAATGGGTTAAACCACTACTTGTGATGCTGGCAACCCATTGCAGAATGTCATTTTGAGTCTCAGCTATTCCACTTTGAATCCAGCTTCTTGCTAGCTCACCCAAGAAGGCAGCAGAGCATGACCCAAGAATTCGAGTCTCTGCCACCCATGTAGAAGACCAGGATTGAACTCTTGACTCCTGGCTTTAGCCTTGCACAGTGCTGACTGTTACTGCCGTTTGGGGAATAAAACAGTGAATGGGACACACTCACTCACACGCTTTCTCTTTCTCTCTTTCCCTCCCTTCCCCTCGCTCCCTCGCCTTTTTCCTCCTTACCTCCCTCTCCTTCTGTCTCTGTCACTCTGCCTTTAAAATAAAGTATTTAAAATTAAAAAACTAAGTTTCTAAGAATTACTAGGTAGTTAAATATACTTTCTTATGTCGGTGTCTTACGTAGAGCTCCCCTGGAAGAATAATTTGCTACAAAGCCATCTACCATGTTAAAATGATTTTTAAAGTGTGATGTTTGACTCAATAGTGCTACACATTTCTCTGGGGTAATATGGAAGACAAAAAAAAAAAGAACAGAAACTTCTGAGAATGAAGAATGCTAATCTATTTTTATTCTGGACATATTAAAAAATGAAATCATATAGATAAGCTACTGGAGAGACAATGGTTTTTTTTCATCAATATAGCACTAATATTAATCTTTTGTTCTTTAATCCTTATAGGCAGCCCTGGAAGCATTAGATGAACTTGACCTGTTTGGTGTGAAAGGTGGGCCCCAGTCAGTTATCCATGTCATGGCTGATGAAGTACAACACTGCCAGGTAAGAGAATCACATTATAACAAATTATACTCTTGCCAGTACTCAGAACACTATGGGTTTTAGATTAAACATAACCAAATGAGATAACCTCATGCGAAATATTTTTATGAAGGATCATGTACTGATATAATCCTAATAAGGCATTGGATATGAAATGTATTATAGTCTTGTTCTCTCACTCAAGATGGCAAAGCAGGAGTAGGGAATGTTTTTTTTTTTTTTTCTACCATGGATCATTTGGATATTTATGATATCATTCACAGGCCATGCAAAATTATCATTTCAAAAATTAACCTGCTATGGATTTATTGAATTTATAATCCCAATTGCAGGTGCCTTGGCAGGACAATGCCAAATGATTTCACAGGCCTTATCTATCCTGTGGCTTGACAGTTCCCCATCCTGTTAATGAAATCTCACTGTAATATGTAAAAATCTCCACTGCTGTCATGTTAAAGGATTATGGTTCTTCCTGAAAATCTTCTCTGCTAAATATACAAAGAAAACAAGCAAAGATAAATTGTTAGTGCTTTTTAAAGTGCCTCTAAAACATTCTGTTGTCCCTGGTTGACTATACGATTAAATATTGGAGATTAGACTGTGAAAGTGAGAAATAGGTACCTATACTTTAGTTTATGACCACTTTGATATTGAAAGATTAAGATTCTTCTCATTGGCTTGATGAATTTTCTCCCTTTTCTCAAACCTGGATTAAACACACACGATATCCTAGTGAGTATCAAATCATCTTCCAGCTTTAGAAACAAAAATTTCTCTAGAAGAATATATGTTGGAGGTAAAGGAACAGAGCTTTCCCCATCCTGATTGTCAGAAGCTGCATTTGCTCTCAACTTTATTCTTTTTTGAAGATTTGTTTTATTTCTTTGAAAGGCAGAGTGAGAGAGAGAGACAAAGACAGAGACAAAGAAAGAATTCACTCACCAAATGGGTGAGGAGCCAGGGCTTGACCAGGCCAAACTCAATCTAGTCTCCCATGTGGGTGGTATGGGTCCACATACTTGGACTGTCTTCTGTTGCTTGCCCAGGTGCATTTCCAGGGTGCTGGATTGGATATGGAGCAACCAGGACCCCAACTAGTGCTAATACAGGATGCCAGCATCACAGGCAGCAGCTTAACCTATTGTACCAAAGTACTGGAACCTTAACTTTATTCTTAAATAGTTGCTAATGGAGTGACAAAATTGTGAATGAGATGATGATGCCAGAATAGTCTTTATCCATAATCAACTGCTTCGGGGGATGATTTACAAAAACAGTTTTTTAAGTTATCACTACTTCATAATGTTTAGGTTTTATTTTCAATGATTATCATTTATAAAACTTTTTAAAATTTTATTTGTTGGGAAACTGAAAGACAGACAGCAAGACAGAACTGCCATCTACTGGTTTAATCTGAATGTTTCCAACAGCTAGGGCTGGGCCTGGATCAGATAAAAGCTGGAATCTTGGAACTCTGTCCGGTTCTGCCACATGGGTAGCAGGAATCAAGTACTTGCGTCATCACTTTCTACTTCAGAGGGTGACATTAGCAGGAAATTAAAATTGAAAGTGGTGCTGGAACCTTCACCCGAGACACTCTGATATGGAATGCAGGTGTCCCAACCTGTAACTTAACCACTAAAGCCAAATGCCCATGTCCACATGAATGTTTTCAAATTAAGGTTATTACTGTTACGATACCAAGGTGTTTAGTAGTGTGCCACATATATCTTTCTGGTTTTTGTTGTTTCTGTTTTTGTTTTTGTTTTAGTCTATCCTTAATTCACTACTGCCCCGGGCCTCAACATCCAAAGAAGTTGATGCTAGTCTACTTTCAGTGGTTTCCTTCCCAGCCTTTGCAGTAGAGGATAGGAAGTTGGTAGAGATCACAAAACAAGAGATCATCACCAAGCTTCAGGTGAGTCTAGATGTGCCTTTCTTTCCCTTAATGCTATGATTTTGAAGGGAAATGAATTCCCTTAGGGACTTTGAGTATGACCTATGTTGGTGACTCAAGAAACATTGATATTTTGAGTTATCTTCAATATGTAGTTTCCATTAAAAAAAAAAAAAAGAAGAAGTTGTTGTTAAAACTTCTGCTGTTAGGAACACTCCTTAAGGGAAGTGCCTGTAACTTATTCCTCACCCCAAATCAATCTCTGCTGTTCAACTGGTTTCAGGATTTTTGTTTCTGTTTTTGGATATCCTGTTTTGTTAAATGATAGGATCGCACATGTAAATGTTGCAAAAGCTGTGTTACTTTTCTTTTGTTTTTTTTTTTTTGTTCCATGTAAATATTTATTAAACAAAGCTAATTGGGCACTGTCCACTAACCTCATGGTAATAAATTATGTAAACTGTGTTTTTTTGTTTTACTTGGACAACATATAGTGGAAATATGCACACAGTCTACATAAATAGGAGTTTGTACTTATTAAGTTTGGTAAACTAAACATTTCCTTCACTTTTGCTCTAACTCAAGCAAAGGCTGTATTTCTGATTAATGATATCATTGTCCCAGTTTACAAACTTCTTGCCTCTCTTCTCTGCATTGCCAGGGTCGTTATGGTTGCTGCCGTTTTCTCCGAGATGGATATAAAACCCCTAAAGAGGTATGATTGTTTTCTCCAAAATGTAACTATTTATAGATTCATTCAGAGAATACACCTCACTGATTGTACTTAAATAAATCACTAAATAGTGTAACAATAACTGATGTGTGTCATATTTGTTGGGCTTAACTGCCAAGTTCTCAGGTTGCAGATATTTCAGGATTAAACAAAAGGTCATGTAGCCCTGCCTCTTCCTGCAGTTTGTTTCAGGAAAGAACTAACAGATGCTAGAGTGAGCAAGTGAAAATATAAGTAGAAACAGAATATTTGCATAGTCTCAAACTACATTGAAATATGTAATGATAACAGTAAGAAAGAATTATTTTTCTGACCTTTTTTTCACTTTGTTAGTTCTAAAGAGTATTTGTTCTTAAAAAGCCAATCTTATTCTGTTAATCAAAAAATCTCCTCAGAAATGTCATCAGAAAAAAAGTATTATTATAGGGAATGAATGGTCAATAAAGAAGCAATTTAATTGGTAATAAGTAAACATTGTTTAAGACTTAGGTTTTCTAATCAAAATCCATTAAGGTTAATTTTTTTTTTTTTACCTTTGAATTGGTTCCCTGCCTCTGCCAGTCTACTAAAATTATGCTGTAAAGCAGGAATGAGGAACTTGTTTTCTGCCAAGAACCGTTGGGTATTTATAACGGCATTTGCAGGCCATACAAAATTGCCAACTTACAAATTAGCCTATTAGAGATTTATTGAATTTCAAGTCCCACATGCAGTTGGCTTGACAGGGGCAGACCAAATGGTTTTATGGGACTATTTTATACACCCTGCAACCTGGACATGCTTCATCCCTGCTAAAACATTATCACAGACTCCTAAATTATCAAACCCATAGTCTTTCTCAATTCTTAGCCTCTTTGTCTTCTCTGTATATTACCCTTACATTTTCTTGAAAATTGTCTACTGCCTTAATTTCCATAATACAACAGTATCCAGATTAATTACTTTCTGCCCTTTCCTCATCCCACTCTGAGAATTTACCAAGATTCCATTCTTGAACACTTCTTTTCATTCATATTATACTCTTTCACAGAGCTCATCTATAAATTGTGCTTTATGTGTCATTGCCGTGAGAACGACACCAGTCTGCCATTTCTAGCTGCCCCCTAAATAAATGGATATTATAGCTTATGGTGTCTTTATCTCCTACTGCTACTTCAAAGGTAGTAAATATAAATGAGTTTTTATTATAAACCAATCTTCATTATCACATACACTCTGGCCATGTCATTATTATCCTAGTTATACTAATTAGAAGTCACCTCAAAGTACTTGCTCAGGAAGGAAAGTACATACACATAATGTCTTCCCTGGTGTCATCTCTGAAACAAGCTATCACTAGTGAAAAGCCATATTTTAGTAACTGAATGAAAGATGAGCATCTAGCCACTGAGAGATAAGACAGACTTTGTTTATTGTGTTTTTACCAGGATCCCAATCGTTTATACTACGAACCAGCTGAGCTGAAGCTATTTGAGAATATTGAGTGTGAATGGCCATTGTTCTGGACTTACTTTATCCTTGATGGTATCTTCAGTGGCAATGCAGAACAGGTAATGAACTGAGGAAGGAGTTTTTGTTTTTTGAGAGTCTATCAGTATGTTCATACATTAATGAACATATTGATTTTTTCATGATACAGTTTCAGAGGCTCTGGTATTTCCCTTCCCCTCTCCCCAAGCCCACTCCCACCCCTCTGACTCCCCTCATGTTATTACAGTAGTATAGTCCTTTATAAACAGTCTGTCATTCTGCTCTTGAAGTAGGTATGGACAATGGCAGAGAGCCCTGCATCCTGACAAGATATATTATCTGTTTCATTGGGAGTCTATCTTTGATTTGGAAGTAGAGAGGCATACTGCATTGTATCTTCACATCTGGGTATTATAAGCTGATGTTTTCTTGTGGAAGTGTGTATTCATGTTCCTGACAGATCACCCGCATGGCTCCATACCCACCAGCCTGTGTGCAAGAGTAAGAGAATAAGATACAGATAAAAAGTAGTGAGAATAAAATAGTGACATTCTTAAGTCAGTAAGTTATACCTAAGGTAGAACATAGTAGCTCAGGTCTTTGGAGGCAGGATGACTTGAGCTAAACTCCGTACTTAATTATGTACTTCTTCTGTGATTGGCATTTTCATAATCTATTTCCCTTAATTTCCCTGAAAAGGGCTTTAATTATACTTACTATATTGCGAATTATCTGAAGCTATTGAGTGTGAATTAGCCATTGTTTTGCATATAGTTTATCCTTAATGAGCCCTTCATGGGTAATCAAGAACAGGTTATGAGGTGAGGTTATTAAAATTAAATAGATTGCAGTGTGTGAAACTGCTAGCATAATATATGACCCATAGGAAGCCTTGAGCAAATGCTTTTTCCCTTCCTTGCCCAGCTTACTTGGTGAATAAGGCTCTCTGCATTAGGATATTCTTTGGTTAAGGCCCGCTCTTAGGTTCCCAAGGAAACTGTTTTTCTGCTTGTCTTTTATCTTCAGGTTCAAGAGTATAGAGAGGCTCTTGAAGCAGTGCTCATCAAGGGTAAAAATGGAGTCCCCCTTCTGCCAGAGCTATACAGTGTTCCTGCTGACAAGGTGAGTTGAACAGTGCCACAATATGGAAGCAACAGAAGCAGAGCAGTACTTTGATCATACTGCCTCATTTGCATCTGATAATTTTTCCTCTTTTTACTTTAATGCTGTTAAGAGTTTTAAGTACAACAGATGATTTTTTTTTAATTCCAAAAATAAAATTTTCAAGCATGATGCAAGGACAAAATGATCAAACCTTACTGTTGAGACTCATGTGGAGATCATTAGGTAGAACTGGAGTGATGATGTTTGTTCTTGTGAGCTCTGGTTTTAGTGTTCTCCATTTTGAGATCAGTAATCTGGGATTGTTTGAGTACAATAGGCTTGGGAAATAAAGTCTATCTTGTCTTCATTTTTTGAAAATGCCTGTTGTGTCTGTTTCTCTTCACCATTGTGAAAAGACCAATAAGCACAGGAGAGATAAGCATAGGAGAGTTTTCCATTCTGAAGGGAGTTGGTAGAATTTCAGAACCTATCTCAGACCTGCCTAATCAGAATGTGCCTTTTAACAAGATCCTCAGGTGATTTATATGCGTATGATAGCTTGAGGAGCACTGTGCCTAGTCTACAGTTACAGTGCTTGATGTTTTAGTGCATTACATATATGACTGTATAGGATATGAATCACAATCCAGACAGCCTTTTTGTCAGTGTTTTGCACTTCCTATTACATCTCAATTAGTCTCTTCTTTCTTTTCTTTTAGGTTGATGAAGAATATCAGAATCCTCACACTGTGGACCGAGTCCCCATGGGGAAGTTGCCTCACATGTGGGGTCAGTCTCTATACATTTTAGGAAGTTTGATGGCAGAGGTAAGGAAACGTCAAGCCTGCCTAATTTTTTCTGCCTTAGTCACCTTAATCACATTTGTGGGGGCCGGTGTGATAGCCTAGTGTCTAAATCATCGCCTTGCATCTGCTGGGATCCCAGATGAGCATTGGTTCGTGTCCTAGCAGCTCTGCTTTCCATCCAGCTCCCTGCTTGTGTCCTGGGAAAACAGTCAAGGATGGCCCAAAGCTTTGGGACCCTGCACCAATGTGGGAGACCCAGAAGAAGCTCCTGACTGCTGGATTGACTCAGCTCTGGCCATTGTGGCCACATGGGGAGTGAACCAGCGGGTAGAAAATCTTTCTGTCTCTCCTTCACTCTGTAAATCTGCCTTTCCAATAAAAAAAATTAAATAAATTGTTTTAAAAAGTCACATTTATGAATGGATGATTAAATCTGTAGGATATCTTTTAGTTTTTCTACTTTGCCTTAATTGTAGTTTTTGCTACAGGTCCTCAGAGTGTAGAGCACAGCTAACTCTCAATAAAAATTTCTTGCCCCTGGCAACCATGTCTCTCATATTGTCGAGGCTCCCTGCTTCAGCACTGTGCTTAGAACTGCTCAGATTTTAGGCCCTGCATCTTTCCGCACAAGCACCTTGTGTGGTAACTAACAAATCCATTTGTGCTTAGAGAGCAACATTTGATTGGATTAAATGCTGCCCTTTCTGGGAGGCATAATGTTTTACCATATAATTGAATTAGTCTGTAATTTTAGGCACCATATCAACTGGTTAGAAACACGATGGATTTTTTTGTTCAGCTGGTTTCAGAGTTTGTTGCTTTTTAATTGACTTTTGGTAAGGAATGAATGTTTCTTGTAACCTGTTCCATTGAGACAAATCTTACTGAAGCAATTTTGACTTTATGTTTAGTTTTCTCTTGTGTGTATGGCATTTTTAAAAAAGTTTTATAGATTTTTATTGAAAAGTCAGATATTCAGAGAGGAGGAAAGACAGAGAGGAAGATCTTCCATCTGATGATTCATTCCTAAAGTAGCCACAACAACTGGAGCTGTACCCATCCAAAGCCAGGAGCCAGGAGCCTCTTCAAAGTCTCCACAAGGTGCAGCGTCCCAAGGCCTTGGGCTGTCCTCGACTGCTTTCCCAGGCCACAAGCAGGGAGCTGGATGGGAAGCGAAGCCACTAGGATTAGAAACAGCACCCATATGGGATCCTGACATGCAAGGCGAAGATTTTACCTGCTAGGCTACTGCGCCAGGCCCAACATTTTGAGCCTATACAGAAGAATCCTTATTCTCAAAAGTTTTCCTGATTTTCCAAAAATTATAATTTCCCTATTTTAGGTTATTTTGATAAAACTAAAACTCATACTCCTTGGAAAGTCTAATGTAAAATTTAGCTATCCTTTTTTTAAACAAACTTATTTATTTGAAAGAGTTACAGAGAGGAAGAGAGAGAAAGAGAGAGAGAGAGAAAATCTTTCATCCAGCAGATGAAAGAGGATCACTGCCTAGATGGCTACAATGTCCAGGCCAACTCAAGGAGCCAGGAACTCCATCCTTAATCTCCCATGAAGGCAGCTACTGGACCAAACACTTGGGCCATCTCCTGCTTCATTTCCCAGACCATTGTCAGAGCTGGTTTGAAGTGTAGCAGCCAATACATGAACTGCCACACATGTAGCATGTTGGCATCCCAAATAGCAGCTTTACCCATTATTTTTCACAATGCCAGCCCATTAACAGGCCTTTCTGATTCAGGCTTTCCTACCTGTTTATGTATGATGTTTTATATTATGGAGTTGATTTTTCTTGTGATTCTCTGTGATCATTGCTGTTTAATTTAGTTAACATTAACATGAATCTAGTAATAAATAAATAAATAAATATCCTTAGTGATATTCTTCACTTAGAATAAATTACATCAATTGGAAAAGATGAGTATTGTTCTTAATTGCAAAGTAGGTGTGTTCATCTCATTTGATAAAGAATAGAAATTTGAATCAAATAACAAGATTTTTAAGAGCAGAAAGCACAGCAAATAAATGACCAAATGAGAAAATATGGAATTAATGGCATAAATTATTGGTGATAAGCATTATGGTCTGATCATCTAATTATATATTTAGTAAATTATTTATATGTATGAATATCAAAGAAGATAGAGTGATCTGGAAACTTTGTGTGCGTTCTTCCCACTTACTTAAAAAGCATTTGTAGCAGCCAGTATAAACTCTTGATAAAATTAATCTAGATGTGAATTCAAGGAGATCAAATATTTCCATTTAGCAAAGATAGTAGTTTTCTTTTATAAATATTTATTCTTATTTGAAAGTCATATTTTACAGAGAGAAAGGTAAGACTTCCATCTGCTGGTTAATTTCCCAAATTACCCCAATAACAAGAGATGAGCCATTCTGAAACTGGGAGCCAGTAACTTCTTCCGAGCCTCTCACAAGGGGCTGAAACCCAAGACCCCGGACCTTCCTCCACTTCTTTCTCAGGCCATAGACAGAGGGTTGAATCAGAAATGGAGAAGCCAGGACACCACAGCCAGAGGATAAGCTTGCTAAGCCACCATGCCAGCCCCCCAAATAATTATCTTCTTTCTATACTTACCTCTCACATGTTATTAGATGTATAGGCATTAAAATGCTGTTTCTGCTTAAACATTACCAGTTTTGGAGAACTTATAATCTGATTTTTGTTTTCTCTTTAGGGATTTTTAGCTCCTGGAGAAATTGATCCCCTAAATCGTAGATTTTCTACAGTACCTAAACCAGATGTTGTGGTTCAAGGTATGTATTCTTATCCACAAAGACAGAAACTTTTCATTAAAGGTCTGGTTAGGAGCAGATGTCTTTGGACCAGTAAATTATGGCTTTATTATTCATCTGGCATTTTGGGTGGTTTCAAGTGTTGTGCAGTGAACTTGATTCAGTTGATTCAGCTTAGTTTCAAATTACTGCTAATTGTAAACATAAATAAGTGGATGATGTGCTTATATGTCAGAGGATGCCAAAATATTTTACATTCTTAAACACTCCTTACTTCTTTTCTTTTAACCACTCCTTATTTCCTAAAAATTCTTATAATATGATGTTTTAATTTCCTGGTTATCTGTGTTTTCTCTCTGATCATTCCTTCTGATCACTTTTTCTGCCGGTATTTCTTTTTTCTCATGCCCACTAAATGACTGTATGAGTTATACTCTTGCAATTATACTCTATATAATTTGCTAATGTCGCTACCTTGTGATACATCTGCTCCCATGGTTTGAAATATTATGTCTTTGAAAAGTCCTTCAAGCCTTTATTTCTGTTTCCTTGCGATTAACTTAAATATTGGAGCACCAACTCTTTGCAAAGCACTGGACTCGGATCTATAAATATATTAAGAATTCTATAAATATATTCAGAATGTATTAGCAAGTCTATTCCCAAAACCTTATCAAACATCACCACTTATGCTTCCTCTTCTATCTCTATTCCATCCTTTACCTATTCCAAGAGAAGCGGATGTTTCCACCTTCTTTTTCTTTTTCAGTGATTTCACCATTAAGCTACTAGGACAGAAAGCTTGAGGTGATTTTTTTATGCTCCATTGGCATCATCCAGTATGATATTGATTCCTAATCAGAAACCCCTTTGTATGTTCTCTGGCTGCTTGACTGTGGGTTGATTCTGTGTGAAAAATAATCCTGTATGTTTTCTAATACCTTTTGTACTTGGCATCATGTGTAGACATAAAGGTAGTTCTTGCTTTTCAATACATGCAGCAAACATATAAGGGTCATCACTCATTTTCTCCCATGAGAAAACTTTCTTTCCATATTTATGCCATATGACTGTACTGAGCTCCTGTTTATCAGTTTCACTCATTGAAGACTTTGAGGCTAGGGTCATAGCCTTAGTCTACCACTCCAAATCCTGCAATAGAGCTGAATTTCAGCACTGATAGAGATGTCACCTAATATTTTAGCCTGAAACTTCTTGGCTATCCTGTGACCTAACTTTACATTAGCCAGTCCCACCAAGGACCAAATTTTAGGGTATTACAACTCAGATATCTCAAATGTCAGTGTTCTACTCTCTGTTCATGGTAATGTACTTTTAACTTTTTTATTTAAATATTTTATTTTTATTTGAAAGGACGGGTTACAGAGAGAAGAAGAGATGGAGAGAGAGAGATCTTCCTTCTGCTGATTCATTCCCCAAGTGGTCACAATGGCCAGAGCTGAGCCAGTCCAAAGCCAGGAACCAGGAACTTTTTACTGGCCTCCCATGTAGGTTCAGGGGCCCAAGGCTGTGGGCCATCCTCTACTGCTATGCCAAGCCATAAGCATTGAGCAGGATCAAAAGTAGAGCTGCCATGTCATGAACTAGTGCCCATTTGGGATGCCAACACCACAAGCAAAAGCTTAGCCTACTGCATCACAGAATTGGCTTCATATTTTGGCTTTCTTTTTCTTCCCATAGCATTTGGCTATTTTCTCTTAGTCTACCCTTTCCTGCCTTATGGTTGCTTATGTAAATATCTCAGCCTTTGATACACCCAACGGAAAAATCATAGCACTAAGATCAGTGTTGTAATATTCATTTTTTGATGCTATTCATGGCCCCCTAGAACTTACTTAGGAAAAAAAAAATCACACAAATGAGCAAAATGGTGGTACTGGAAATTCATGGACTTAAACTCACCTTTGTCCATGGGTTCCCATTTTAGTTTTCATTCTGATCATTCTAATTACAGCAATAGCTTTGAAGCTAGTTTCTCTGTATTCAGTCTAGGCTCACTGCACTCTTATCAATTTATCCTTAATTATCAACTTAAATATGCTCCTTTTAAAATGTGGGTGGGAGCATGTTACTGCTCTCATAATTCTTCAGGGACCCCCTATTACCAGTGTCCTGAATGTGGCTCACAAGGCTCCTGCATCAGGCCCCTAATCCTATCTTCAGCTTCATTTCTCATCATTGCCCCTTCACAGGCCACATTCCTGCTATGAAGAACTTTTTAAATTCCATGAGCTGCCTTATTCTACAGTTCCAACAGCCATTGTACATACTGTTTCTTCTGTATGTAATAATTTCTTTCTTGCTTTTACCATTACCTCCACAAGACTGGTACTCGTCCTGGGTTCCAGCAGAACTTTATATTAAAGTGTCATTTTCCGTATGTGAGGATCATATCTGTCTGTGTATTCCTAGCATTTGTCCATGCCTAGCACATGAAAGGCAATAAATTTTTTTTTCTGAGAATGTTAGAAGACATAAAAGAAACAAAGGCATGAGTTGCTTGGGTTGAAAGTACTGCTGGAACCTGAATGTTGTTCACTTGACTCGCTTTCACTCTCCCTTGCTGTTATTATCCACCTCATTTCTCCCTGTCAAACTCTGAGGCTCAATGGAATATGATTTGGAAATCAGTGTCCACAGGTTAAAAAAATCCTTGAATGACACATATTCTGTCTTTGATGATCTCATCCCTGACTATCTCTCCAGAGTAATTTCTTTTGTCACTGTACAAAGTACTTCATGCTAAATTAATATACATGTATATGAGCCTCCACTTCTTGCATAGCCACACACATTTCTCATGTCCATGCTTTAAGTTCACTCTGGACCCTCTGCCTAGAACAGCTGTCTTCTTCCTTTTTCCTTACTTCTGTTGGGTGACTTTTTCTTTCAACCTTAACTTAGAATCAGCACTTTCATGAAGCCTCTCCTGAAGGCATGCTCCCAATTATAGACTAGACAAGCATTCCATGTGGATGGTCATAATGTTTTATGCAGTGTTTCTGTTTTATAATGGATTAGTTTATATTCAGTTCACATCTGTGTCACCCTGTGTGCTTTGTGAGAGAGAAACTATTTAACTTTGTATCCCTAATGCTTTGTATAGTGCCTTATCCATTTAAGAACTTAGTAAATATTTACCAATGAATGAATGTATAACCAAATGCATTTCCCTGAATTTTTCTTAGCCCAGTGTCATTATCCCTCTGTTCATTTTCCCTATACAGTCTCTTCTTTTATTAGCATGTTTTTAGTTAGATGTAATCAAGATTTTAAGATGAACTCTTAATGGATGTTTTTCTGTCAATGAAGCTTGAAGTCTCAGATACAGAATGTGATAATCTCTCAGAACCCATGAAGTACAATCTGATGTTCTAGTAATGCAATTTTTTTTTCCTTTTCCACTAATATTGTAGAGTGCAAGTGTAGAAAGTACCTACTTTATCGAAGTTCCTTAACTATGAGTTTTCCCCTCGTTTTTCTTTTCAAGTAAATTTCTTTTAAATGAGTTTTACTTATTTATAAATATTTATATTTTGATTCCCTAGTGAAATAAAACTTTATCTTGACCTTATCTACTTTCTTTACTGTAGTCTCCATTCTAGCCGAAACAGAAGAAATTAAGGCCATTTTGAAGGACAAAGGAATTGATGTGGAGACCATTGCTGAGGTGTACCCCATCAGAGTACAGCCAGCCCGTATTCTCAGCCACATTTATTCCAGCCTTGGTGAGCATTACTCAGTAGAAGCTGTTTTCCTGCCTGTTTTTTTTTTTCCCTTCTCTTTGATCCTTTGTTTCTTTATTAGCTGGCTCTGAAAAAGACTTTAAAGTTTCTGAACTCTAAATTTTTAACCCCATGTGTCCTAAGCAGCCTTGTTAATTTTAAATGTGTTTGATGAATGCTTTGCTACATAGGGCATGATTATTATCAGATATCATCATATCTTTCATTCCAGGTGCTTACTTAACTAACACATTCTACCATTTCTTTAAATCTGTATTTCTCCTTCAAATACGTGGTAATTTCACCAAGACTGGTAGCCCAGGCTCTTGTTTTTAAGTCTTTTATATTTTGTCAAAGAATATATTTGTTGATACTATTTTAAAAACTCTTTAACTTGATAATTAATCTACTGGTTATCTTTATATATTTCTGCTTCATATTTTATTTATTAGTTTTGAAATAATGTACTTTTAATTTAATTAGTACTTGTTTTATTTGATTTTATATTAGATTCCGTGATAGACTTTTAATATTAGATGAATTGCAACAAGAAAGATGCAAAATTTCTAAACTGCTTTTGTGGCAGGCTGAATAATGAAATATATTCAGTTCCCAGTCTCTGATCTCATATAACCATATATGGCAAAGGAACTCTGCAAGTATAATGCAGGTAGAGTTTGAGATAAGGGGCTAATGTTGTAGCATACCACCACCTACAAAGCCTATATCTCATACAGAGAATTAATGTCCTTTTTACTCCACTTCCAACCCAACTAATATCCTGGAAAAAGCAGCGGAAGATGACCCATGTGTTTGGGCCTCCCTATCCATTTCCAAACTCCTGGCTTCTGCTGGTCTTAATAGCCATGGCTGTTGCAGCCATTTTGTCAGTGGACCAGTGGATTAAAGATGTGTGTGTGTGTGTGTGTGTGTGTGTGTGTGTGTGTGTGTCTTGCTCCTCTCTGTGTAATGCTGACTTGCAAATAAATAAGTCTTTACCAAAAAAAAAGAGTCTGAGACTAAATTACCCAGGCAGACCCTAAATATAATCACAAGTATTCTTAGGAAATGGAGACTAGATTATAGAAGTTAAATATTTCAAGACAGAAATAATAGCTCTTTAGGACTCAGAGAGTAGTTTTCTGTGGTGCTGAATAGTGGTCCCCAGGGACATCCAAGATTTAACCTTTTGAACCTATGAGCATAAGATTACATGTAACTGTGAGCCAAATATTTCCAAGGAATAATCGCAGTTTCTTCCCTGTAACCTCCAAAAAGAACCAATCATACTGATTCTTGATTTTGATTTCCTTTAAAAGTCACTTTAAATTTATGACCTCTAGAACAGCATAAGCAATAGATTTTCTCTCATATATTTTTAAGTTGCTAAAATGTGTGGCAATTTTTTACAGCACAAATAGGAAGGCAGTGCAGATTTTAGATCTCAGAAGTAGTGCGCTATTGCAACAACTATCTAGAAATGTGGAAGTGGCTTTGGTATTGCATAATGAATAGCGAGCGGAAGAATTTTGAGTTATATGATTAAAAAGAGGTCTACTTAGGCAAACCATCAGTTGATTATTTCAGATAGTTAGCTGAGGAGATTTTGAAGGAAAGTGTTGAGTTCATGGAGTTTGTTTGTTTTTTGCTGCCAAGAGTATTATGCACTATCAAAGAAATAAATTGGTGGAAAACTGTTTAAAACAGGAACTGGGACTTGATTCTCAGTCAATCCTAATTATACTCAATGTTAACATTAGAAGATTTATTATCAAGAGGACGGGGATTAGCAGTATCAAAGTAACAGAGAGAGGTTAGCTATCTATCCCATGGATCCCTTCAATCATCTCAGCAGAATCTAGAAATAGAGAATGAATTTCCCAGGAATGACTGTGAATTCCCATGATGTTTAAGCAAGAGCCACAGATTTTTTTTTTTTGAAAATGGCAAAAAAGTTGAGCATCTTTCATTTGAAAATGTGAAATTCTCCAAAATGTGGAAATTTTGAGTGTCACACCAGCACTCAGAAAAGTTTCAGATTTCAGAATTTAGATTAAGCAAGCTCAACCAGTAAATTGAGTGCAGATATTCCAGAATCAGACAAACTCTGAAAACTGAAACACTTCTAATTCTAAACATTTTAGATAAAGAGTATTCAACCTATACCAACAGAAACACTGTCAGTTTGGACTGAAAGAAACAAGATGAAAGAGATCTTTTGGACTTCCCTAAGTTCTAATTAGAAAACAGCAAACACATGCTACGCCTCAGGGAAAAGGGTTGATGACTCCAAGGGAAAAGTCTCAGGCCCAGAGAAGTTGGAGCCGTAGGCTCTCAGAGTATATCCCTAAACTACACAGGATTATTACTAAGCCTTGAAACCTAATGAAGTTTATCCAGTTGGATTTTAAAATTCCATGGAACTTTTAACTCTTATCTTGCTTCCATTTTCTTCCTTTTCACAAGGGAACTGATCACCTCTTCCTATTCTCCCTCCCACTGTTGTCCCTAACTTCTGGTAACCACTACAGTACTTTTAAAATTTTTTGATTGATTGATTAAGAAATTTGAAAAACAGAGTTACAGAGAGAGGGAGAGACAGAGAAAGATCTTCCATCTACTGGTTCACTCCTCAAATGGCTGTAATAGCCAGAACTGGGCTGATCCAAAGCCAGGAGCTTCTTCCATGTCTTCCACAGGATGAAGGGACCCAAGTACTTGGGACGTCCTCCTCTGCTTTCTTAGCCGTTAGCAGGGAGCTGGATTAGAAGAGGAGCAGCTGGAACTGAAACTAACATCCATAAAGGATTACAGTGTCACAAGCAGCAGCTTACTTGCTTGCCACAGCGCCAGCACCTGGTAACCACTATTAAACTATCAACTTCTCTAAAATCACCTTTTTAATTTTAGTATATTTATTTTTATTTTTAATTAATGGGTTAACAGATTAGATATAATTCTAAGAACACAATGAAATTTCCCTCCTCCTCCCTTCCCTGTATCTTTTTTGTAACTATCAAGAAAATATACTCTAGATTTACACCACAGTAAAAGACCTAATATTTCACAGACTGGTAAGTTTAACAAGTAAAAAGCAAGATCTTAGCTTAATGGGAACACACACAGTGGCTATAAAGAATAATTGAATAGAAGATGACTATTTCTTCCAAATAAAGTAAATTGTATAAAGTAATTACATATCTTTAAAACTGTAGAATATAATCATCCTTAACATTGAAAACTACTTTTTGAGATGTCATTATTAATAAGATAATGTGGTATTTACCTTTCTGCACTTATTTCACTGAAAATAATTACCTCTGATTTTGTATTTTCATAAACAACAAAATTTCATGTTATTTATGGTTGAACAGTATTCCATTGTGGCCACAAATGTATGAAAAAAAATATTTAACATTACTAGTCATTAGGAAGGTGCAAGTCAAAACCACAATAAGAGGGCATCTCAACCCAGTTAGAATGTAAAAATCCAAAAGTCAAAAATAACAAATACTGGCAGGGATATGAACAGAGAGGATATCTTATGCACTGTTCTTACAGCAATTATGGATAACAGTATGGATGTTCCTCTGAAAACAAAAAATAGAACTATCATGAACTAGCAATTCCACTTCTGAGACTAAGATAAGCAGGATATGAGAAGCCAAAATCCTGGAAGGAAGCGAGCCTCAAAAAAGTAAATTCATCATTCTCTGTGCACTTTCCCTTTGAGTCTTTTACTGATTTTAAGCTTTTCTTACATGGGGTGAGGAGTTCAGAAACTAAACATAAAATATCACTGTGCTAAAAAGACAAAAAATTGTATTTCAAGAACTTCCTATTGTGGAAGAGGTTTAAATCGCTAACAGACTTACGAAAAATGCTCAGGTTCCCTAGCGATAAGGGAAATACAAATAAAAAACACATTAAGGTTCCACTTAACTCCAGTAAGAATGGCCTGCGTTTAGAATTCTTTGAATAACACTTGCTGGCAAGGATGTTTGGGTGAAAGGTACCCTATTCCACTGTTAGAGTAAAGGCTCATGCAGCTGCTATGGAAGACAGTATGGGATGTGCTAAGACAACTGAAAATTGATCTACTATATAACTCAGATATCCCACTCCCAGGATATCCAAAAGAAATGATACCTACATATGAGAAAGCAACCTTTATCCCTATATTCATTGCAGCACAATCCACAATAACAAAGACATGTAAACAACATAGATTCCCATTGAAAGAGGATTTGATGAAGAAGCAACAGTACATATGTTCTTTCTGATACAAAGCAACCTTCATACAAATTACAAAACAAAAAGATATTTAGGTACACAAGTTCACATGTATATTCTCTCATTAATGAATAGTGTAATGGAGACTATGAAAAACAGAAAAGAAGACCCCCAATAAACTACTAATATACCTTGACAACCATTGCTTACAGCTATAATATAATGACACATGTGAAGAGCAGAATGTTAGAGTCATGACTATAGTTGAAGGACTGTGTACAATCAGGGCACATTTGGGACGGGAAAAGGGGCAGGCCAGAAATGGAGGGGAAGAGGGAAGGCCTGTGCCTACAAAACTGTATAATGGAAGAGGGAAAAAAAAGAAAGGAAGGAAGGAAAGAATGAATGAATGAATGAAAGAGAAAGAAAAAAGGAAGAAAGAAAGAAAAGGAAAGGAAAGGAAAGGAAAGGAAAGGAAAGGAAAGGAGGAAGGAAGGGAGGGAGGGAGAGAGAAAGGAAGGAAGGAAGGAAGAAAGAGAGAGAGAGAGAGAGAGAAAGAAAGAGAGAAAGAAAGAAAAGTAATCATAACCCTTAAGTTGAATCCCCCTGAATAATAGACTACTTTCTATCAGGAAAGAAAAACCACAAATAAACCAGTTCTTAGAAAGACTTAGACACAAACCTCACTATGGAGATACAATTAAATCATCTCTGGAAGAAAGTGATGATCATCCAGAGTCTCTATAATTACTGTAGACTGAATTGAGTGTTAAAAATGTTTTAATGCTATAAAATGAAAAAATAAAACCAAAGGAAAGATGCAATCACAACAGGCTACTGTTTCAACATAGTATTAGAAGTTCTAGCTGGAACATTTAACCAAGAATACCAAAGACACTTAAGTAGGAAAAATTAAAGTGATCTCCATTCACAGAGAACATAATCTTTTGTATATACTAACAGTGAATAATCCTAAAAGGAAATTAAGAAAATAATTTTATTTGCAATAGCATCAGAAAAAACATACTTAATAAATTGAACCAAACAGGTGAAAGAGTTGTTCACAGAAAATGGAAAAACATTGCTGAAATAAATTAAAGGCATAAATGGAAAAATACGCCAAGTTTATAGGTTAGAAACTATAATATTGCATAGATGTGGATACTGCCCAAAGCTATCACAATATTCAAGGAAAACCTTATGCTATTAACCAAGTGTTTTCTTAACTGAAAATTTCATTCTAAAATTCATATGAAATCTCCAGGGACCATGAATAGCAAAACTAATCTTGAAAACATAATAAAATTGGAAGACTTTCACTATGATTTCAAAGTGTGCTACATGGCCAAGTAACCACTCAAGGATACTGCTGGTGTAAAGACAGATAAATGAAACAATGGAATTGAATGGAGAGCCCAGAAATAACTCCTCATATATACTGTGAAATAATTTTCAACAAATGTACCAAAACCATTCAATAAGGAAGGGACAGATTTTTTTTCAACAAATGATGCTGGGAAAATAACATATGTACTTTTCAAATAGCCAAAAGATAGAAATAACCTAAATGCCTATCAGCAGATGGATGAATATGTAAAATGTGGTGTGTATATATAGGATTAAACATTATCTTGCTTTCACTGCTGGGAAATGTCTGGCTTGCAGGTCTTATTAGGCCCACAAAATCTTTTGATCTGACCCTGCCAAGCCAACCAATTGCAGGTGGGACTTAAAGTTATAGCAAGCTAATTTTTAAGTTGGTAATTTTGTATGACCCATGAACAATGTTATAAATAGCCAAATGGCCCTTGGCAAAAAAAAAAAAAAAAAAGTTTTTCCCCACAACCTCAATGAAGCTAAAAGATACTATGCTAATTGAAATCAGCCAAAACAAAATGACAAATGCTGTATGATTCCAAGTATATCAAGTATCTAGAGTAATTACATTCATAAAGACACAAAGTGGAATGGTAGTTGTCAGAGGCTGTGGAAAACAGAGGAAGGTACTGTTTAATAAGGCAGAGTTCCAGTTTGAGAAGATGAGAAGCTCCTAAAAATCACTAATGGTGTTATTTGCACAGTGATATGGATGTACTTACTGCCACTAAACTATACAATTATTACATTATGCATAATTAAATAAAATAATGAAATTTATCATGTTTATTATAAATGGTTGTATTAGTGATTAAATTATTGATGGTTGAATAAGAATTAAATTATTAATAATAACCATTATTAAAATGGAGGTTATGTTATGTATATTTTACTGTGATTTTTAAAAGAAACAAAAGAAGAAAGAACAATGGATGAACCTGATTGTAACATTCATCTCAGGTAAAGTGTGTACTTTACTGTGTAGGCTCTGGAATACAGCCAAGGCACTGACAGTTCTCTGGTTCTGGTCCCGTAAGAGTGAAACAACACTAAAAATGTACCATTTTTGGATCAGTATAGCACTTAAGATGATGGAGAGACAAAAGCAAAATCCCCAAGGGGGGAAAAATGTTCTAGTAAAAAACGGAAAAATGGCAAAGGAGCAGTAGTTCTCTCAGTCCTGACATAAAGGGATAATCAACATGTGTTTGAGGAAACAATTTCAGAGCAGTATGTATAGTGTTGCCTTATGCTATAAAATATCAGTATGTGTAAATAAATTATTTCTACTGCAAGAGGATTTTATTTGATAGCTGCCTTTTGGAAGAAAAAAAGAAATTCAACTAAATTTAACGTAGATGTCACTTAAAAGATTAGGTTTCAGTGTCAGAATGCTGAAGTGTAGAAAAAAAAAAAGACATCTTAAACTCAAGGCAATAAAGTGAGTGTGTGTGCCTATTTGTATAAATATACATCGTGTGTGTATCTATATGTAAAATATTTGCTCTTTTGGTTTAAGTGCTAGAAATATATTGACCGCTTTCCTATTTTGTGTCAGGATGCAATAGTAGAATGAAGCTCAGTGGACGACCCTACAGACACATGGGAGTGCTTGGAACTTCAAAGCTCTATGACATTCGGAAAACCATCTTTACTTTCACTCCACAGGTGAATGAAATAAACCAATGTGCAAATGAATGAAAATTAAGGAGGAACGTTGCAGAAATAAAGCATATACTGTAGTCTGAACGATATATAAGACTTCCAGAGACAGCCATGCACGTATGAAGTTGACCAGTAAATGTTTATTGAGTTGAACTGAATTGAACTTGCAGCACAGACTGAATGTCAAGTGATTTTGGCTACCAACAGCAGACCCGGCTGTTGCAAAAGCACTAGGATGTTACAAGTGTTATAACATCGATGAAAGTTCCCCTTACTTTTAAGAGTTAAAATAAGATGCATTTGTCCTTTATGAGTAAAATATGGTTTCTTTTATTCAGCTGCTGAATTGTGTGTTCTTTATTTGGGGGAGGGGACTGTTTTACATACCTAAGAATCTTCAGTAACCTTACCAAAAATATCCAGACTTCAAGCTGTGTTTATATACATTGTTCGCCTGATCTCTAGCTAGCCCAGTAATGCATGTGTGTATGTGGCTGAGAAACTGTTTTCTGGAAGGAAAGCTTAAATTCCCTGTTTGTTATTATGCATCTGGAGTAGTGCAGCTGAAGGTAATATAAATGGAGTATTAATGAACCACAGACTCTATTTCTCACTTAGCCATTTGCAAGCCCTATAATTTTTTTCAATCCATATATTTTGTCTTAGCTGTATTTTTCCTTTATTAAAAGGAGAAAAGTCCTCAGTAGGTGTACTTGAAGATACTTGGTAATGGTAAACCATGGCACAGTAAAAATGTCAGCAACTTGGTGTATGTACCACTTAATCACCAAATACTTAGGAAAGTGTTAGCAGTCACATTTTGAGGGTATTTCTAGCTCTTGGACACCTTTATGAACCAGTGTTTTAAAATACTATTTGACAGTTATGTGAATTAATTATTCTGAACAATTATTTTTCTTTTTTATCAGTTTATAGACCAGCAACAGTTCTACTTGGCACTGGACAACAAGATGATAGTGGAAATGCTTAGAACAGACCTCTCCTACCTCTGTAGCCGCTGGAGGATGACAGGTCAACCCACCATCACCTTCCCCATCTCACAGACCATGCTAGGTAAGGGTTATTTGAGACAAGGAATGCAGGTATGTTTTGTAAGTAGATCATGGTTAACTGCTTATCATCTTACAGTTGCCGGAGACCTGTTTCTTGTGACTCTTCTTGCAGCGGTGCTTGTTAGCTCGTCTTTTGTGCCAGGTGCTTTGATAAGCACAGGGACACATGGGGTGATGATGGCAGATGAGACTTCTGCTCTTATAGAACTTAGGTTTTAGGAGACCAAGATAGATGATAAATATATAACAAATAAATCAATGAAGAAGTATGTTTCATTTAGTCTGAAAACGATTATTTTTTTAAATGTGTCCAAGAATAACTTGGCTGGTAACTCTTCAGAGAATTGGTTTCCAGGTCAATTCGCAGAAACTTTTATTCTTATAATTTCGAAGGACAGTACTACTATATGTTGTATCTTTCTTACCCTGGTGGAGTATCAAAATTTCATAGATAAGTTCCCAGGCTTCCCTTTCCAAAACCTGTCTAACTGAAGTGGTACAAGTAGGGAAAAAAAGTGAAAAGGACCTTTGGTTTATTTTTCTTTCTTTTATTGTAATTTTTTTCTTTTGGGCAGTTTTTCCTGACATTGCTCACTTGAACTGGACTTTATTGTTCTTTCAGTTCCTGGAGGACCAGAGCCAGTACTGAAGCAACTGCTTCTTTTTTTGTCTCTGCTGTTGCTTCCAAAAGCCTGTTTGTACTGCCAAGTTACATAGAATTCTTGTTCATTAAAGAAGCACAGGTCATTCAAACACCATACAAACTGATGAGAATTTTGGTCACATCTCAAAGTGCTTCAGGTTATTGCAATGGACAAATTGGTGAACTCTTTCCTCTTTATTTAAAACAAATTAGCAAATACCCAATTTAATAACTACTGTATTCCCAGAATTGTCCTCATAAAAGGGGCAACCATTATACACAATAATAGCAGAAAACTGCTCAAGGCAGTAAAATACAAAACCATTAGATTAGTACTTTACAGTTAAACAGATAACTGAAGTGGAACTTGTCAAGTGAACACTTGAATGAGTGGTATGGAGATAGCAGAAGGAAAGAAGGTAAGGTGCTTTCAGTGAGGGAGGAAATATCATCAGACGTAGAGGCAGGAATGAGCTTAGTTTATGGGGTGCCAGCAAGAGAATAACCTGAATAAAATGGGTTTTGTTTGCAGAAAGAATACTTTTAAAAAAGATTTATTTGCAGGGTACAGTTACAGAGAGAGGCTGAGAGTGATGCTACATCCACTGGTTCATTCCCCAAGTGAACACAGCAACTACAGCTGGTCCAGGTCATATCTAAGATAATTCCATCCACATCTCCCATGTGGGGAACAGAAGCCCAAACATGTAGGCTATTTACCAGTGCTTTCCCAGATATATTAACAGGGAACTAAATTGGAAGCAGAGCAGTTGGGTCTCAAGCCAACAATGCCAAATCTCTGAGACCACAATGCTGGCCTCAGAGGAGTAACATTTAGTCAACATTTGATGACTAAAGCAAAAAATCATTAACACTGTTTGGTGTAGTCCTAGAAATATGTATTTAAGACAGCTGTATTACAAATGAAGAAGATAAAGGACTTCAAAGATTGGTTTTTGTTGTTAACGATTTTTTTTTAATTTTTACTGGAAAGGCAGATTTACAGAGAGAAGGAGAGACAGACAGAAAGATCTTCTACCTGTTGGTTCACTCCCCATGTGGCCACAATGGCCAGAGCTGAGCCAATCCAAAGTCAGCAGTCAGGAGCTTCTTCTGGGTTTCCCACGTGTGTGCAGGGTCCCAAGGCTTTGGGCCGTCCTCGACTGCTTTCCCTGGCCACAAGCAGGGAGCTGAAAGGGAAGTGGAACAGCCAAGATGTGAACCAGCATCCTGGCTCATGCAAAGTGAGGATTTCAGCCACCAGGCTACCACACCAGACCCAGGACTTCAAAGATTTCTACACAATGTTTTAGTTGGCTTAATATTGATACTAGTAGATGGTGAGGTATGCATCATGTATGTCTTTATACATAATACAATAGCTAGAGAACAACTAACGAATCCATAGGTGTTATAGGCAAAATTGCCATGCATATGGTCTGGCATTGTGACTTAGTTTAGATGCCCTTTGTGATGCCTGCATTCTGTACTTGAGTGCCACTTGGAGTCCTGCCAGCTGCTCTACTTTTCAATCCAGTTTTCTGATAGAATAATCAAGACAGAGGTAACAAGAGGAAAACAGTAGATAAATTACCAGACAACTCTTAACTTGTCAATCATTGCATCAGGTTTAAATAACCTAAAAACACCAGTTAAGACAAATTCAGAGTGAATAAAAAAACTAAATTGTTGCTTCAATTATAGCAATACAGATAGACAGACATTAAAATGAGGGAAAATGTTTTATAGCATTTAACATTCATTTTTAAAAGACAGATGTGGCTTTGGCCTGAGTCCCCAGCATTGGATCCGGCCTGGCAGGGGCACCCCGAACATCTGCCACACTGCAGGGAGCTGCAAACCGCCCCCAACCCCAAGGATGAAGTTTATTTAGAGATCTCTCCAACTGAACTGCTAATCTCAGAACCCCATCCATGAAGAGACTGTGTCAGCCAGTGGATTCTGAATAGGTTTCATTGCGATTGCAACGATGAGATTGGCAGCAATTCAGAACTGTTGAACTATCAAAACTGCTTGAGCAGGACCCTCAGTGCACCTCACATAGGGGACCTGCGATGGGTGGGAGGCTGGGTGGGGCTTTTCCCTTTGTTTCTCCCCTGACCCCAGATACAGGGAAAAAATGATATTGTTGTGGAAACAATGATATTACCCACTTTCCTATAGCCCTTGACCCTTTGTACCCTAATCAACTATGTAAGATTATTTAAAAAAATAAATTTAAAAAAATAAAAGTAAAAGACAGACGTGGATGAGGTCACATTGAAATCTGATATAGATTTGAAAGTAAAGGAAAATCCAGATAATAAAAACATTAGAATTGAGAAAGGAGCTCCAACAACAAGCTTTAAAAATCATGCAGAAGGTACCAATGTTGTGGTGTAGTGGATTAATCTGCTGCCTGCATCTCATATGGCACTGGTCCAAGTTCAGGTTACCTCACTTGTAATTTGGCTAGCTCCCTGCTTATCTGCTAAGGAAAGCAGTGTTGGATGATCCGAGTCCTTGGGTTTCTGCCCCAACATGGAAAAAATGGAAGAAGCTGTTGGCTCCTGGCTTCTGCCTGGCCCAGCCCCAGCCGTTCTGGCCATTGCACTGGGCCCAGTATAAAGATTCTTAAAAATCAATTATAAAAAGATAAACTACATAACCAAACATTAGAAAGACATGACCAGGCAGTCCATACGTTCTCCTAACGCTAAAGCTGAAACAATGTCTTCTTGTTTTATCTTATCAGATTTGTAATATTATTCTTAGAAATGTGGAGAAACAGTTGTTTTCCATACTGTGGGTGGAAATAACGATTGGAACAACTTTCTCAGAAGATATCTTGGCAATCCCCATAATATTTTTAGTAAATATTTCCTTTGCCCTGACATTTCTAAATGTAAGAATTTAACCTAGGGATATATTAGAATAAATGCATTCAAGATGTAGGTGCGTTGATCATCACTACAGTGCTGATTATAATGTAAAAACAGTCTGTTTTCTAGAGAAAGCCAGATCAGGTAAGAAAATGTATAATAGGATCCATGTCAGATAGAATCAGGTGGTTAGTAAATTTGGGAATATTTGTATGCCTATATACATAAGTAAACTAAAGCTCATTATATGATTTATGGAATATTGGGCATGGCGCTTCACACAGAACATTGAAAAATTCGTTTCTATTGTTATTGTCAACATTCACCAAGTATTTTCCATAGGTCAGTATGCTAAGCAAGTCCTTATGATAAGTAAGATAATATCTTTGAGAAACTGTCTATTGGTCATCGTTCCCTGTCATTTGCCTAGTCTTTAATGTTGTTGATTCTCAGTTGAATTGTGGAAATGCAGGGTGATCAATGAAGAGTGCCTTGTTTGAACCATTACCTCTGGGATGTTGATTTGAAGTTACCGGGTTGCCCTTACTTCAAAGGTAAAACCACAAAAATTGATTTAAGTTTCTCTTCATTTCAAGATGAAGATGGAACCAGCTTGAATTCAAGTATCTTGGCAGCACTACGAAAAATGCAGGATGGCTATTTTGGTGGGGCAAGGTAAGTGACCTTTTAGTGAAATGAAACTTGGGAGGTTGGTATAGTAATAACAGGTTTCTGATGCTTTTCCGTGTGTCTTCAATAACAGAATCCAACATCCTCAGTATAGCTATTATTTGATAGGCTTGGTCAATGAATTTAATGTAATAGTGGAAAGTTGGAAATTTACCTATGCCAGTTCTCAGGAGACGAGGAAGTGTATTCATTCAAAAACAAAAGGAAATTACCAAATGCTTTTCTTTACATTTTTCCCTAGAAATTTGTAATATTACTGAGCACTCATGCTTTCACAAGATTCACCTGTTATTAACATTTTGTCCACTGTGTGTCGCCCTCTCCCATGCTTCCCTCTCTTGCTTTCTTTTCCATAGTGAAAGGTTTTTGGCATTGATCCAAAAATACTTGTGCATGGTCTGATTTTTTTTTTCCAAAAGATTTATTTATTTAAAGGCAAGTTAGAGATTGATCAAGATCTTCTTTCCACTGATTCACTCCCCCACATGGCACCAACTGTCAGGCCTGGGCCAAGAGGAAGTCAGAAGGGAGAAATCCTTCCTGGTCTCCCAAATGGATGGTAGGGGCATTGCACTGTTATCTGATATTTTCCGGGGTACATGAGCAAGAGACTGGATTGGAAGTTGATCATTTAGGACTTGAACTGGTGTACATGTGTAGGATGTCAGGTTAACAGGAAGCACCACAAGGCCAGCGCTCCTATGAAATGTCATTTTATATAACCGTTTTCACACATTTATGTCTGATGGTGGGGTCCCCATGTACTGTGTTCTGTGGCCATCACACTGGGGATCACTTCCTGAGGTGCTACTGGGGCCTCCCAGCCAGCAAACCTGGAGTTCAGAGACTTTCCCTCCCTTCCAGAAGGAGACCTGGGTTTTTGAATGGACAGTTTCATTTCCAAGGACTAACAACACTATTTGGGACTAGAGCTGAGAGGGGAGGGTCCTGAGCCTGGGCGGACTGCTGCTATGAAGGAATCACTCGTGTCTGGGTTTTTCCTGCAAAGTGTTAGGCATCAACAAAAGCAGCAAAACTAATCTCATCACTCAGAATCAACCAGAAACAAAGATAGTTGAAAACACTGTTCATGGAAAAGTGCTGACCCCCTAGAAAAGGACAGTGGGAGGTGGCTGGGGTGCTGACCTGGATGAGTGGTCTCCTTTCCCACTCTGAATTTACAGTGCTACCACGTGTGTGTGTGTGTGTGTGTGTGTGTGTAAAAGAAAACACAACACAAAATTATAAGTATTCCCTGCTGTCCTTCTCAGTGCATCAAGTCAGGTGGTACATTAGATTAGCTTGCCACATTGCTAGTGAAGTCAACCTTGATCACTTGATTGAGTGATGTCTGTTAGGTTTCTCCATATCCTTTCCCCAACACCAGCAGTCTGAATTGATTATCACCATCGGGGTTATAAAACGGTGTTTTTGTGTTTTCTATCACTCTGTGTACATTTATTAGTTGAAATTGTTACGTTAAAAGGAGCTTTCCTCTCTCGCCTATTATCTGTAGTTTACTATTAGCATAGATTCACAAATTCTTTATTCAATGTTCGGAATCTCCAGGGTGTGACAACTGGCAGCCCCTTCAAGCTAGATTTCTCGGAAAATGTGTACTATTGACGTTCCCTTAAGATTTTATAGTCGTCCTCATTAAAGGAAGATATGTTTTATAGTCTACTATAAATTATAAAATTTTCAAGTACCCTCTTTTATGTTCAAGTGGTTTTTTCCGCAGTTTTTTTAATGATGCGATAGATTTATGATGACTCATTCGTCCTCTCGGCTTCTGTAGTAGCCAATGTAAAATTTAACCAGATGTTTGGCAGTTTAGCAACATGGCATGAGAGTGCTTCGAAAAGTTCGTGGTGGCCAGTCAGGAGCAGAGAGGTGGTTAAAATGGTTGCAGTGCCACTTTGGCAGTTGCACTGCATATGAGAATGCTGAGTTTGATTCCCAGCTCCACTCCTGACTCCATCTTGCTGCTATTGCACACCTTGGAAGGCAGCAATGATGATTCAAGTAGTGGAGTCTCTGCCATCCATATAGGCGATGTGGATGGAATCCCCAGGTCCTGGCTTCTGCCTGGCCCAGCCTTAGCTATTCCTAGGCCTTTGGGAAGTGAACCAGTGAATAACCTTTTTTTCACTCTCTCTTTTGCTGTTTTCTCCCTCTGTATCTCAAATAAATAAAGTCTAAAAAAAGTGTAAGTTTGTGGAACATATAATTAAAAGATGGGCTTATTTTGATGGCAAAAAAATGAAATGTATTTCTATGAAGTTTTGAATTGCCTTTTTATGTCGGTGAAAGAGACAAAATTGTTCTGGCAATAGATTATGAACCTGTAATTGTACTCTGTATTAACACAATCCCCTATCCATTTAAGCTGAACATTATGCCTAGCAGTTCTATACCATTTTACTTTTCTAAAATTTGTACTAATGTATCAACATTAATAATACATAAACAAACCATACCATATGCCCTTTTACCAATAAGGTTGTGTTGTTTTAAAAGAATCTATCCTGGTCCATACCCTGGCCCATTGCTGTGGTAGAGTAGGTAAAGCTGCTGCCAGTAGTGCCAATATCTCATATAGATACTGGTGGGAGTCCCAACTGTTCCACTTCCAATCTAGCTCCCTGTTAATGTGCCTGGTGAAGTAGCAGAAGCTAGCTCAAGTGCTTGAACCCCTGCCCCATGTAGGAGACCAGGTTAAAGCTTCTGATTCCTGGCTTTAGATTGGCCCAGCTCCAACCATTACTGCCACTTGAGGAGTGTTCTCTGTCTCTCTCTTTCTCAATCTCTCTCTCCCTCTCTTTCTCCCTCTCTCTTCTTTCTCTCTCTCTCTCTTTTTGCAACTGTACCTTTCAAACTAATAAATAATTTAAACATCTGATTTTCTGATTTCTATCTACGTTCTAAATTTCAGGATCCAAACAGGTAAATTATCAGAATTTTTGACAACATCTTGCTGTACACACTTGAGCTTCATGGACCCCGGACCTGAGGGTAACCTATACAGTGAAGATTATGATGACAACTGTGATGAGCTGGAATCAGGTGACTGGATGGAAGATTACAATCCAACCAGTACTGGTAAGACAGGTTCGTAAGCACTATCCTGCCTAGACAAGAATACACATGTCTAGCATAGTCCTGAATAGCTGATGCTACCAGCAGTCTCACTTCTCACTCCTGTTTAATACACTTAGATTTCTACTTTTGTTTGGCCTCATCCTTCTACTTACCTTTAGTTTTTAGTCTAATATCCCTGTGGTAACTGTGGAACATGGTGTTGGACTGTCCGTTACTAAAACTGGGAGAATTGGTTTCCTAGGCATGTGAAGTGGCTGATCATTTTTGTATTGGAAGAAGCAGTGGTGACTGAGAGACATTTATTCAATTATGAAATAGGAAAATTATACATATACGGTATTACCTTTTTGATATCAAAAAACATTAAAATATTAACTTTGTAAGAGTGTGGACTATTGAAGGAGCACATGAGAGTCTCCAGAGAGGCCTGTGTGCTAGTCGGTATGCTTGTTTGAGCACAGCATTTACTCACCAAGTCCCACATCTTTCACTCGGCATTTATTTTGATAAGATCTAAAGCTAGTTTGGATTTCTTTGTTGGAAAAGTACATCAAAAGAAAGATTGTTTAATTGTCTTTAATAATAATCAACAATCTGTGTTGGCATACAACACTTGAAACTTGCTTTCTGAAATATAACTTTTTAGTGCTATTTATCACTACATTTGGTACTGTAATAGTCTGAGTCACTTTCCCGTTCTTGGTTTACTCATGAGTGGTCTCACAATGAGTGTGCTTATTGCTTGGCAGCCGTTCTCTAGCTAGAGAGTTTCCCCTCTACGTATTACATAACCCACCACCCATGGAGACTGTACTCAACTCAAGGATAAAGTATTTGTCACTGAGAAGTCACTGAATATGAGTTCTATTCTTAAAGCTCTGCTAGTTCCCATTAGTAATATCAGAGCACAAAAAAAAATATGAAAAGATCCCTGAAGATCATCCAAATGCTAGATGATTCATACCTGACTGAGCAGACTTCAGCATTGATAAAGACAGCTTTTTCTTGTGTAAAATATGTGGATATCCATAAATAGGCTGAAATATTAAGTATTCACAGGGTATGTGTATGTTTTTGTTTCCAGTATCCACTTTCAGAGATAATAATTTAAAAGTTGTGTGGGGAATAGAAAGCCAAAAACCATAGAGACGTATATATCTTCTTCACCATTGAAGCCTCAGCTCCTAGTACACTACCTGGTAATAGTAACCAATAAATATTTGGTGAATAAAGAAATGAGATGACTAAAAGGGCTAGTGTTTGATCAGTATTCCTTTCTATACCAAAGCCATGTGAAGATTGTTTTTTCACTGGTTATTGTAATTGTGAAAAATGAAATTTATTTAATAGGGAAACCAAATGTTTGGTGGAAGATATTTGTCTTCATTTAACCCTTTCTCACTCACGTCTCCTCATGTTATTGGAGCTTGAAGGGCCTTGTTCTCCTTCTCGACCTCCTGCAGAGGTCACCTCCACTGCCACCTCCACTACTGCCACCACCACCACACACATCACACAAATGTGCATACACACACACACACACACACGCATACAAACACTCACACGATCTATGAGATGCTTGTTGCACCTTTCCTGGAGAAAGTTCATTCTGCTTTCAGGAACCCTAACATTGCTTCAGCAAAACCGGAAAAACAGGTGGGTTCTGGAAAATAGACATATTTTCTAAATCATGAAACTGTGAAGTTGTAGAATGCTCACAAGCCTTTTTTCTCCCTGCCAAAAGCAACCCACTTCCAAGAGCTGTGTAGTGGGTACAGGAGCAAATCATTCTCTCTACTGGGGTATTGTGAAATATCTAAAATATTTATGTTTTTCCTCTTCCCCTCCCCTCCCCCACTAACTTTGCAGCTCGCTGTGCTGATGAAGTTACTCGTTATTTAGATCACCTTTTGGCACACACTGGTCCCCATCCTAAACTATCACCTGCCTCACAGAAGGGAGGGCTAAATCGGTTCCGAGCCGCTGTGCAAACAACCTGCGACTTAATGTCCTTGGTGACCAAGGCCAAGGAGCTGCATGTACAGAGTGAGTAATGCCATGACTCACTAGAGTCAGGCACAGGATGACGTGAAGACCAGGATGGGGGTGGGCACTGATGACAATGTAAGCAGTAACTTTGTTTTGTTCACTGCTTTATCTCCAACATCTCAGCACTTAAAACATGTTAGACACTCAGTATCTGTATAATTAATGAATTATATATAGTTTTCCTGCAGGTAGTGTTGTTGTGTGGCTTAACCAGTAACACAGTAAGAGAAGGCAGACCAAGGCACATGGAGAATCTTCACTTTTAATATCATGGGGGGGGAGGTGGCATACAAAAAGGGACCTTTTATTTGTAAAAATTACTCCTTTGACAATACTTCTGTTTAATGAGGAAGCACTGTAGAGCTTCCACAAGCTGATCATACAACTGAAAGAGAGATATAGTCTCACTTTAGTAAATCGTGTTTGATTCCTTTGAGCTAGCTGTTAATTTAAAAAACAGATTTGTTTATTTGTCTGAATGGAAGAGTGAACAAAGGAATAGGTGTGTGTGTGTGTATGTGTGAGAGAGAGAGAGGGAGGGAGGGAGGGAGAGAGAGAGAGAGAGAGAGAGAGAGAGAGAGAGAGAGAGAGAGAGAGAGAAAGCCAGGGAGAGAGAGAGAGGGACATATTTCATCCTCTGGTTCTCTTCCCAAAGAGCTGCAGTGGCTAGAGCTCAGGTGGTACAAAGTCAGGAGCTTGGAGCTGCATCTGGGTCTTTCACATTGAAGACATAAGCTCAGGGTACTTGGTACATCTTCTGCTACCTTGCTGGATACATTGGAAATGCTGGATTCAAATCAGAAGTGAGCATCCAGGATTTAAACCAGCACTCTGATATGTGATACCAGGGCCAGAGCACCACACCACCAGCCCCCAGCTATAAATTTTCCAGTTACTGTTCCAAAAATGTAGAGTCACAATTTTGCCAATATCCTCCCCTGACTGCTACCTCATCCAGTAGTATTTTCAATGGAGGGTACCTCCTTTGTCAGGAGTAGTCATGCTTCCTAAGAAAGTTCAGTGTGGCTATGGTAACTGCATATGAAGGGAGAGAAGGGCACCTTGGCCATGGAAACGACGGGAATATTAACATTTGACAGATAATGAGAATGATTGAGATGCATGCCCCTGCTGCCTTAAACTTTATTGATCATTACTAACCAAAGATATTAAACATGAACATTGGGGAATCACTAAACATTTTAACAAGGAAATATTCAACTTACTCCTGGGATATGCTTTCAGGGAAAAACGCTTTTGTGGAGAGATGAGCTTTATTTGTTACACTTCTTGATTAAAAATCAAGCAACCTCCCAGCCCTGCTATTTACTTGCTGGAACAGTTTATTTGAGCTCTGTATCTCTGTTTCTGTATCTGTAAATAGGGAAAATGACTAGTCTCTTCCTAGCTTATGGTAAGTATTTCAATAATAGACAAAGTAAAAAAAAAAAATCATAGCAATATCTCAAAGTTGGTCAGCCACTAAATTTTTTTTCATTTCATAGACAGGATCATTCGTCCACATATTCTCAGGGAAATCCAACTGCTAGAAACCAGATATCCTCCTTAGAAAGCTAGAAAATATAAAACATTAAGGAAGGTCCTTCTATTATGTATGATAGTCTATCAATAGATCAGTGATAGCACCATTCTACTATTATATGAGTAAATATAATCTCTTATATGTCCAGAATTATGCTATAATTCTAGAAAATCAATTCAAATTATATTTATAATGTGGACATTATTTAAATTACCTAATACTCATTTCTTTTTGTTGATATTTCCAAGATTGGAGAAAGCTATCATTCATGTTCAATAAAGAATTGACCCATTTATGACCTTATTGTTGGGATCAACCATGCATTTGTCTCATAATTATTTAACCTTTCCAATAAATGTCAACCTCTTGCAGATGTTCACATGTATCTTCCTACAAAGATATTTCAGGGTTCTCGACCTTCACTCAACTTACTTGACTCATCTCCTCCCCCACAGGAGGGCCAGGTAAACTTGCACATTGATATTTCCATCAGATTTTTGCAAAACCACTTGCTTTGTAGAAAGTAGTGTGACTCCTTATTAGTAAGTCTGGGTAGAGAAAATACTATCCTGGTGAAGATACATGTCCTTCTCAGTTCACATTTAAAATGAGCAAGTTTTTCTTCTTTTTTTTTTTTTTTCTAAGATTGATTGGGTTGGAAGGGCAACAAGTATTGATGGGAGTGTTGATGGAGAGAGAGAGATTTTCCAACTATTGATTCATGTCCTAAATGGCTCCAACACTCAGGGTTGGTGGGCTAGAGCTAGTAGCCAAAAACTCCATCATTGTCTCCCACATGAATGGCAGGGGCTAAAACTTGGGGCCATCCCCCACTGCCTTTCCACACAGATCAGCAAAGAAAAGAAGAGCCGGATATGAGATGGAAAAGCTAGGACTTGAATTGGTACTCTGATATGGGATGCCAGTGTCACAAGTTGAGGCTTAACCGGCTGTGCCAGAATGCCAGCCCCAGACAAATTTTTGCAATCAAACTTTAAGAAAAGTACATTACAGCATTGTACATGCTGAAGGTTTCATTGATATTGAGAAAATTTTTATGGAAAAAGTTTGGGTGTGAAAATATGGCTCATTCCAGGAATTGATTGAAGTTGAGCCCTGATTGACCTAATTCTTTTTTATCGTTTCTCAAATTAAAGGTGCCAGCTGTTCATGTAGAGATCCATCTTCCTAGAGACCAGTCTGGGGAGGTGGACTTCCAAGCACTGGTCTTACAGCTGAAGGAGACCTCAAGCTTACAGGAGCAAGCTGATATCCTCTACATGCTGTATACTATGAAGTAAGTGATGACGATTATTAATTTACTTTAATTTTCACATAGAAAGGAAATATAGCATAGTAAATGGAACAGAGCTTTGTAGTGTCATGCTTCTGGATTTGAATATAGGTAAGCAATCTACACACTAAGATTTTTAAAGCCGTCACTGTCATCATTTGTAAAATTTGAATTATACCCGTTTCAATAACTGGTAAGAATTGTTATCATTATGATGGTTATTATTTAGCCTCCATTTTTATATTATCTATAGAGAAATTCTTAACTCAAAAGAAGAAAACTTTTTGGGGCTTATAAAGAAGCTAACAAATGTGAGTGTTTTCTGTGTGTCAGAAACTACCCAATATGCTTTGTATCCAGGTATCTCAGATGTAATATGTGCAAATTGGAGTTTCTCCTTACACCCACTTACACCTTCTCTTTTTATATTGGGGTCACCATAAAGGAGTAGAACAGGATCCCTGTCCCTAAATTTAATTTGGATATTGAGGCTGATGATGCCACACATGTGCCAAGACAGAGTGTAATGTTTTTTACTCACAAATTAAGCTTTCTCGAAGGAACTGATTCCAAAGTTGCTCTCCAAAAGTGTTTGAGAGGTCAAAGAAAGGTGACGGGAATTTGAATTTTGTTATAATCAGAGTGAGACTGCCATTAGTATTCTCACTGGCACCAAAAAAAGGAGCGTATGAACTTGTCTGTCACTTTCCCAGATACAGGGGTAAAAGGAAAGAGGAGTAGTAGCACTCGAAATCAGTCAGATGTCAAAATTGGAATCACACTTAAATTCCCCATCTCCATTGAGATACTTACCTAAGCATCAAGCTCTTACACATGTCTGGTTCATCACCAACTCTTGCCAGCCTTTCCCTTAAATACTTTTTTTTTTTTTTTTTGTATTTTTACTATTGATCCCTTTATTCAAGCCAGCTGTCTCACCAGGACTAATGCTACTGCGTCCGAACAATCGTTCTGCCTCAATCATATCTCCCTCTAGTACCTCATCCACAGAAGAAAGAGTAGACTTTATTTATTTGTGTATTTTTACTTTTTATGATAGATATTTTCAAACTTAACAAAAAGTGAAAATAGTAGTATAACGACATCCTTTTGGACTCCAATTACCAAGTGCAACAGTAACAATTTCCCTTGATATCCAGGAGGAACTAGTTCCAGGACTCCCTGCAGATATTAAAATTTACCAATACTCAACTTGCTTATACAAAAATGGTATAATATTTGCATATAACTAACCTCATGTATACTTTTTTTTAAGATTTATTCATTTATTGGAAAGTCAGATATGCAGAGAGAAGGAGAGACAGAGAGATGATCTTCCCTCCGATGATTCACTCCCCAAGTGAGCGCAATGGCCGGTTCTGTGCCGATCTGAAGTCAGAAGCCAGGAACTTCTTCCAGGTATCCCACGTGGGTGCAGGGTCCCAAGGCTTTGGGCCATCCTCCACTGCTTTCCCAGGCCATAAGCAGGGGGCTGGATGGGAAGTGGAGCTGCCGGGATTAGAACCGGCGCCCATATGGGATCCCAGCGTGTTCAAGGGGAGGACTTTAGCCACTAGGCCACGCTGCCAGGCCCTCATGTATATTTCAAATCACATCTAGATTATCTATCAAATGTAATTACTATATAAATAGTTGTGCTATATTTGTAGGGGATAATGGTGAAAAGTCTGTACATGTTCAGAAAAGATACATGTTTTAGTACAGAGGGCTGACATTATTAACTCATGGCTACTCATGTTATATCAACCTTGACACCATTTTCCCCCTATATTATTTTGGAAAATATACCATATATTTTATCATTTTACTCTAACATTTCAGTATTATTTCTAAAAGATAAAAAGTTTCTTAAAAAATGGCTACAATGGGATTTCTGCTTCTGGATAAGTTGAAGTAGATGCATTTCTCCTGGTTTCTTCTGCCAACTGTAGGAGGATAGCATTTGTATAACAGTAATAACAAGACAGAGGTGTAGAGAATAAGGCAGACCAGATAAGGACCTCGGCATCCAAGGAAAAACATGACAATGATGTCCCACAGTTTTCTTTCTTGCCTCATATGCCCAGTATTGAGTCCTGAAGAAACCAACAGATTAAAACTGTGAGTTCAGACAGTACAAGTCCCAAGGGGAAAAACCTGGTTCTCTAGATTAAACAAAAGTTCACTCTAGAAAGACAGACAACTTTGAGACAATAATCGCTCCAACCAGAAATCATAGAGAAAACTGTGGTCTCACCCCTAGTAACAAAGGCTAAGTGGAAAGTCCAGACTTTGGTCCTGCACAGTTATAAACAAGACAGGCACTGCTCTGTGTTTCTACTGCCCCCACGTGTTAATGACGGCCAAGTAGCAGTCTTGGACTTTAATATTCTCTGACTTGAAAGAGGCCTCCATGCTAAAGTGTCAGTAGAGACCACGTGGACTGTCTGACCTTCCGCCCCCACCCAATGGCAAGGGGTACCCTGGCCCTTTTCTGCTACATGGCATCAGAGGTAGCCTAATGCAGTCAGGACTTATACTACAACTCAATGATCAATGTAATAGCAGTGAAGGCCACAGAAGGAACTGAATTTCCACTCCTGCTCAGTGAAGGCTAAATGAAGGAACTAAACTTATTTTCACTATACAATTAGGCAGCATTCTGTTTTCCCTAATAATGCAGTGTCAGAAAAGACTGATTAAAACAAGGTTTTAAAAAGATCCAAATTCTTGTCACACCAAGGACCCAGAACATCTCAGCTTAAATGAAAAAGAAAAAAGTAACAGATAGCAACATTAAAATGATAAAGCTGTTGGAATTATCTTTAAAAAAAAAAAAAAGGTCATAAAAATGCTTTACCAAGGGCCCAGTGCCGTAGCCTAATAGCTAAAGTCCTCACCTTGCATGCTCCAGAATCCCATATGGGTGCTGGTCCTAATCCCAACAGCCCTGCTGCCCATCCAGCTCCCTGCTCATGACCTGGAAAAGCAGTGGGGGACGGCCTAAAGCCTTGGGACCCTACACCCACGTGGGAGACGTGGAAGAAGCTCCTGTTCCTGGCTTCAGATTGGCACAGCTCCAACCATTGTGGTCACTTGGGGAGTGAATCAACAGATGGATGATCTTCTTCTCTGTCTCTCCTCCTCTCTATATATCTGACTTTCCAATAAAAATAAATGAATCTTTAAAAGAATACTTTACCAAAAATGCTTTAACAACCAAGTGTGAACCCTTTGAACCAAATAGAACGCATGAAGAGGAGCCCAATAGAAAACTTAGGAATGAAAAATACAATAACCAGAATAAAACAGCAAAATATAGAGGACAGAGATAGAAACAGTGACTTAAAGACAGAACACTGGAGACTATGCAATCTGAACAACAGATACTTAGACAAAAAAAAAAAATGACCTGAGCCTCAAGGACATGTAGAACCATAAAATATAGCTGGAACTGCATTATTACATATTAAAATATAAATCATTTGCTAATGTCATCAAGTATCTGGTCAGTGTTCAGATTTCTGTATCTCATAAACGTGTGCTTTACAGTTGATTCAATTCAAGATGCAATGAAGGTCCAGATGTTGTACTTGATTGTTTTATGTCCTCAGAGATTTTAACATTTAAGTTTTCTTTTGCTCTTTTTTTTCTTAGACTATTTATTGAGAAAATGGATTGTGTGTCCTTTAGCATTTTCCACATTTTTTTGTTTTGCCAGTTGCATACCTGTGATGTTGTTGAAGCATGTTCTGCTCCCTTTGGTGTTACCTGGAAGATGATAGTTACATCTGTGGGATTGACAGACTGATAGTTACAGCTATAGGATTAACAGACTTGGATTTAATTTCTTTTTAGGCAAGGCGACTACCTGGGTGATACTCTGTACTTCCTTTAATGTCACTCCAGGAGGCAAACAATACATGATAGATGCTCTCTTTGTCATGTTAAAAATTGATCAAGTGTTTTTAGTCTGTTCTTGCTGCTGTGAAGTTCCTTGTTAGTTTTTCTCCTAAATGAGTTTAGTTGTCAGTGGTCATTGCCAAGTTTCATTATTTAATCAGGGGTTGTCAAATCCTGGTTTGGTTTTCTAGTTCTATTCAGTGTTACTTAAAAAAAAAAGATCTAAAGATCGTAATTATAATTTTTATTCTGCTTATACAGATGAACAAGGAATAAATGTAAAAGTTGAAATAAATGTAGAACTTGCAATTCTTCACAGTGGCTTCTTTGAAGTAGAGGGAAAAGTTCTAAAACCTCAATATGGTCTGTAATGGCAAGTTCCTGCTTACCCTGCAGACACCATTCTGTGCTCTGTAATTGATGTTCCAGCAACGTGGAAGTGTTGATAGTTTTCCAGCAACACTGTGCTGTTTCTCATTTCCCTGCTTTTGCTCATGTTATTCTTTGCATGAAGCTCTTTTCTAAATTCTCTTGTTTACCAGACTAACTTTGTACTCATCCAGTAGGATTCACCCCATGCTATATCCTCCATGTAGTCAGCTCTGAAATTGTTCCCCCCCTACCCATTGTTCCATTGGTATCCTTTATAATGAACTGTACAAACCACTAATATGTATACAAGGGTACACCAAGATTTTATGGACAAATGGGATTAAAAGATAAATTTATTTTGAAATCCATGGATAGTAAGGTTCTTCAAAAAGTTAATGGAAATGAGTATTATGAAACAAAAATGTGCATGGATTGCATGAAAAAAAATATTTGCACCAAAACTTTTTAATTCTACTTTTCATTAACTTTTTCAAGTATTCTTACATTTTTGTGCTATAGTTTATGTATATATCTCAGCCCACTAGACCATACTTCTCAAGATCAGTGATATGATTCATTTATCTTTACAGTCTCAGAAACCAGGTGATTGCCTTATGCTGTTTTCTCAGTATAGACTGGCCAAATGAGTCATTGTCTTCACTTAACCTTTGTACTTTTCCTATGGGATAGATTGACACCTGTACTTTGTAAACATGACGAAGCTGGGT